AAAAGCTGAAAACAGAGAATGGAATGGAAGCCCAAAGACCCCCAAATACAATCCTAGGCAGGAACGTTATTAACGATCCAAAAGTGACAAGAAATAAAGTACCCGTCAGTTTTCTTTCTCTCACACCGGCTGCACCATGGTGCCGAGGAAGACGATTGCAACGGACTTTGAGACAGATAGAAGTATAACACACAACAACGACAAAAAGTAGGGTAAAATAAAACGCAAGAAAGATTATTGCATTATAGGTGAAGAAAAAAGTAGAGGGCACTAATACAAACGAGTTCATGACGGTGGGCACCAACCAAATGACTGTTATAATCACTCCATAAACCCATTTCTTAATGAAACGATGCTTGAAAGGACGAAATGTAGCGTGTACTCGTTCTAATGAAATGACAGCGAGGTTTAGAAGGGAAACTTGATAAACTTGTAAACCTAAAACATTTTCTAGCATACGTAACCAAGTGATATAAGGCCTACGGTAATCCCACAGATCACAGTTGAAGCTTCCGCGCCTTTCAATCATCAGAGGCCCGAACACCAACCCAACCAAGAGATCTACGATGGCCTGGTGGATGATCAAGTATTTACTCCGGCGTCGTGGCTGGCGCTGCTTCACAAATGCAATGATTATTATGACATTGAGGATGACAGTGGTAAGACATTCAGTGCCTAATACAACTAACCATGGAATACATTGTAATGGAGAAGGCATCGTGGATCGTGTCATTATAGGTACTATTGTTGGGACTGATAGACATTGAGTTACACTGGAACCTGTGGGAGCCAACCGAACGACCTGAACAGGAAAGAAACGTCTATAATGTAAAAGTATAGACCAAAGTTCTTGATATCATGCTGGTTCTCGAGTTAAAACATTCGTAATTTGCTTGGTTAACTGCAGGGTCCTTGCGTGCTCGATGAAAAGAGAGTGTACTTGTTCTTCTTGGTTCTGAGCGCAACAAAACAAGCAACCGCGCTAGCAAATAGTTTGGTGCACTTTTCCATTCAAAGGACTACTGTTCGGAGTAATTTTTAAAAGAAAAGACTACTTAACAAACAAAATGATGAGGAAGCGTCTGTTCGAAATGAAGATTGATTAAGAGTATTTGCGAACTCAAATTGATTTTCCAGAAAAACAAAGATACAAGAACTGAAAAAACATCACAGATATCCTCAATTAAGAAAAACGACTGATGCCAACTGCACTTGTCTGTAGTGGAAAGAAAGTTCTTTCTTTTGTATGTAGGATAGAAATACATACACCTGCCACACAAAACCTAGCGAGGTACAGGGCGAGAACCAATCCTCAATTCAAACGATGTAAGTTCACGTCAAGTGACGACATTATCTAAAAAGAAGATAGAATGCTCGTACTACTTACGTTTAAACGACGAAGTAAATTAAGAAAACCATGAAATTGTGTGGTTAAATAGTAATCTCAAAATTGGGACATATTTTTCTCCTCTAATAAATTTGAGATCATTTCGAGAGGTAACCAAAATGCACAGTTTTGTTTATATTTCAAAACTTAACAGAGTATGGTTCAATAAATAGTTGGTCTCTTTGACCAATAAAAGTCTTCTAAATGATGAGGCTTTTAGCTTTAATAAGTCACCTAATTTGACATCTGGTGATGAAAGGTGGCTAAGTACAGTTCTAAATGCAGCATCTGGCTCAACAAATGTAATTTGTGTTTTCCTCCCTTTTTCTTCCTTTAATTTGTAACAAAATTTAAGGAGGCGAAGGAAATAAGGACGACCAATCTAAATAATTAACAATCTGCTATAAAGCACTTTGAGAAAGCAACACTTTTTTAAGTAAATTTCAAGGTTAATCTACTCAAATACAATTTACTGAAATACGAAAATATTACATGATGATATAAGAAGCAAAGTGCACTATAAGAAAGTTTTAAAATTTTCCGAAAAGAGAAAATTTCATGCAATACTTGCAGAAAGTAAATACCCATAATCTTTTCAATCTTGTACCATGTCCTAGCATGGTGTAAAACCTTTCACCATTGAATCAATATTTGTTCAAAAGACAAATCTTTTTTTTTTCTTTCATTGGCTCCCGAACACCGCGAGCAGGAAGGTCTTAAGATGAAGATCCGCGTCCTTTCAATAACATTTTACCTCCGACAGTGAGTTCGTAGATCGGTTTGCTTAACAGGTGGCTTAATTTCGCCCTTTTAATGGCGGTGGCATAAGTGAGAAGAGCGCGATAGAAGTGCGGGAGGTGATGTAGTGTTTTCCATGAGCTTTCACAGAAAAAAAAAAACACTTTTTTTCAATTTCCTAAAAATCTAATATCTTATAAAAGAAATAAAGGTCTATCAACTTCTGAATTTTTATTTTGGTATCCTTTTTTACTTCAAGAGTTATAAAGCAAAAAGTAATTTGAGAGAAGAACGAAAGGCGCAAGATTGATGATACTTCATATCAGCTTCTTCTCGTCCCCGAATTAACGATTTCAAACCACTGTTGATTTTCAAAGCACACTGTACAGTTTTTTTTCACAGTTCCGAAATGGCTCATTTGCTAGTTCTTTCCTAAAGCTAGAGAGATTATTATTCTCATTAAACTGTTGTTTTCAAGCTGTTATCGTGTTCAAAAGCGACAAGTTTCCTTTGCCGTTGCGGCGAAAGGAAAATTTCTTCACAGTTTGCATCGGAGCGGAAATATTGTTCACTGATATAGAAAGGGGTTCCTAATAGACTTGAGAGATGTAGTGGCCAGAATCTATTTCTATCGAAGTTACCGAAGGCACTAGTTTGCGAAATATATCGTCGTGAGTCTATCATCATTCGCGTAGCATTACACTTCGAGCACCGATCGTTGGCAAGCTGTGTTGTGTTTCGAGTGAAACTTTCCTTCCTGTGCCTGACGTTTATTCCCCCTCTTTTTGCTTCGACACAAATGGTTACACATTCACGCGTGTTGCACTAAACCTTCTCGACCCAACTTCAAAATACAAATCCCAGACACCATTTTTTATTTCGTCATGTGTAGATCACGTTGAAAAGAAACGTGTTGATTAAAATGCGTCGTCAAATGAAGTTATCTGAAACGTCTCGGCATGAAACAATAAGCTCCCATTCTGTTTAATATTAAAAATTGCAAAATTAAATTATATTATAAGCTTTAAGAAAATTTATACCATTACTGGGATAGCGGGCATAATTTTCACGCTATCTCTGTTTGAATGAAAACGCTTATTTTCCTTCTGTGATACCTCAAAAGGAAATATTCTATGTGATGTAAGATTCACTAGGAATTATGATCAGTTGGTCTTTTAACATGGCGTGCTTGCATCAGAAGTAAAGGAGTTATCCGTCGTTTAATCGGCCATCACTCCGGGCGAGACACGGGCAGGGGAAGAGTTCCTTTTCTTGAACTTCTCACACCTCGTGCTTTCCTCACACTTTTCTGTACCCGCCTCAAACTCAAAAGCGGATAACGCCTGTAACGCAGGCTGTTTCTATTATCTTTGTTAATAGTGTTAGTTAGCAATATCTTCCCCATCCTCTGGTTCCAAAAAGGATGCAGATGCGGTCAGAGAAAATAAAACCACATCAAACAACATTTCTACAAATTGAGGTTTTAATAAGTTATCGATTTTACATTACAGGCATATCAAATTATACCTCCTTCTTGTTATGGCAAATGTGTATCTTTTCTTTTTTCTCTCAAGTAGGTCTTATATCTCCGCACCCATTAATTTACACTAATTCTTTTCGTTTTTCCACGTATTATCGTGGTGGTTATAAGTCGGACGGTATTGAAGGCAAAATCAAACTGATTAAAAATCTTCTCGACTTTCCTTTCTTTCTTTAAATAAATGTTTAAAGATTTTCAAGTGGGATATTGATTGGATTTATAGGGTTCCGAGCCTTACGGAACATGACTACTAATACGCCTGTTCTTTCTTCAGGCATCCGTATAGCATAAATCATAGGATTTCTCAATGAGTTGGCCACTATAAATGTTATCGTTACCATCAAAATGTAAATAAAGACTGATTGGAAAGATGGAAACAAGCTCGGGACTGGAAACCCAAGAACTGCAGAAAACGATCTCCGGCAGGAACATAATCAAAGATCCTGAAGCGACAAGAGATAAAGTACCAGTCAGTTTTCTTTCCAACGGACTCTGAGACAGACAGAAGTATAACATACAACGACGACAAAAAGTACGATAAAATAAAATGCAAAAACGATAAGTTCATAATATCTGACGAAAAAAGTAAAGGGTACATTCCTGATAATATCGAGTTTATGATGACAGGCGCCAACCAAATGACTGTTATCATCACTCCATAAATCTATTTCTTAATGAATCGATGCTTGAAAGGACAAAATGTACCGTGTACTTGTTCCTATAAAATGACAGCGAGGTCAGGAAGGGAAAGTTGATAGACTTGTAATCCTAAAGCATTTCCTAGAATGCGTAACAACTTGATATCACGTCTATGGCATTCCCAAATATCACAGTAGAAAACTCCATACATTCCAGTCATCAGAGGCCCGTACACCAAACCAACCAAGAGATCGACTATGGTCGGGTGGATGATCAGTTATGTAGACTTCTCCGGCGCTGAAATTGGCGCTACTTTAAAAATACGATGATGGTGATGATATTGAGGTGAATATTTAATGTCTAACAAGACATTTGCTTAATTTGGTTTTTGCATGATATGATGAATTATCAAACCTCGTGTCTGTGTCATCTGCCTTAGCCTTCTGCTTTGGCAGATAACCCAACAATTGCCTATCATTTCGCCATCCTATCCTATTGTATTGTTACCATTGAATTATCTTTTATGACCAACTTTTTCCACTATACAATTAAAACAACTCGGACGGCATTGACGGCAAAATCAATTTGATTAAAAATTCTCCCTACTTTCTGTTCTTTGCGAACATTTTAAATAGATGTTTAAATATTTTGAATTGGGATATCGATTGGATAAACAGGGTTTAAAGCCCTGCAGAAAATTATTTGCATTATGCTTGCTCTTAGTTCAGGCATCCGTATAGCGTAGATTATTGGATTTATTAGTGAGTTGGCAGCCACAAATATTATTTTTACCATTTCAAAGTGAAATGATGACTGATTGGAGAGGTTATCGAAAAGCTTGGAATCAGAAGCCAGAACGCCCCAGAATACCACCATCGGTAAGAACGTTATTAACGACCCAAGGGTGATAACAAATGAAGTATTCGTCAGTTTTCTTTCCCGCAAGCTGGCTGCGCCATGGCGTTGAGGATGACGACCACACCGAACTTTGAGATAGATAGAACTATAACATACAACGACAACAAAAAGAAGAGTAAAAAAATATGCGAAAGAAATCAGTCTAAAAACGTCGTCAGAGTGAGTTAATATGAACGTTTTCATGACGCTAGGCACCAACCAAATAATTGTTATAATCACTCCATAAACCCATTTCTTGATGAAACGATGCTTGAAAGGACGAAACGTAGCGTGTACTCGTTCTAATGAAATAACAGCGAGGTTAAAAAGGGAAACTTGGTAGACTTGTGACCCTAGAACTAACTCTAGTAAAAATAACAAAGTGGTATTAGGCCTATGGTAATCCCACAGATCACAGTTGAAGCTTCCGCTCCTTTCAATCATCAGAGGCCCGTACACCAACCCGACCAAGAGATCTACTATGGCCTGGTGAATGATCAAGAATTTACTCTGGCGCTGTAGCTGGCGCTGCTTCATAAATACAATAATGGTGAGGAGATTGAGGATGACAACAGTTAGGCATTCAGTGCTGAACACGGCAAACCACGGGATACATTGTGATGGAGAAAGCGCCTTCCAGTGCTTTTGGATCGTGTCATTATAGACACTATTGTTGAGACTTGAAGCCATTGAGTTTCAATCGATCCAGCCACCACCAACCGAGTGACCTGAAGATAAGAGGAAAACGTTATGATGTGGAAAATATAATAGCAAAGTTCTGGGTATCAAGAAAATACGTTTTGTGTGTCAGTTAAAGAATTTGAAGGCTGGTAAGAGACGATGCCGTGAGAACCAACAGGGTTACTTTGAGTGTTTTATTGCGAGCTAAGCTTCTCAAATCTTTGCCACTCGTTTTTAACTCGTGAATTGCGCATGCACAACACGAGTTATAGCGGGTAGTGGGAAAATGCGGTCGCTCGATCGCCCGATGGGCTGTAAACTTTATGCAAATAAGGTACGCACGCTACCTACTTTTAAATTGCTGTCCAAGTTTTTTAAAGCTCCTCGAATTCGTAAAAGCTCAGCTATTCACAGATTTTCTGTGCAAAATTGCATGCAGTCGTTCAACTGGAATGGCATAAATGACAGCAATATGAACAGTGCGTGTAATGAAAACAAAACGTATACCGTAATGAACTGCACCGCGATACAGTTTAGTCTGTGATTCTTGCTTCTGGCAGTTAAACGTTTCCGATGGAATCGACCAGTTTTCTTAAACTTCGGCCTTCACTTACTCCGAAGCGTCCGGAATTTACAGGTGTTCAAAAGCTTTTTCTGTTATGGCGTGAGACTGGGGACAAAAGCGATCAGTAAATTTCGCGTCGTGTTTTTTTTTGTGAGAAGCGACAGAAGGTGGCGGCAATTGACGAAATTATAGGTAAACACGAAAATCAAATAACACGTAAACATATAATTTTGCTACCGATTTTCAATTAATTTTTAAAAAACAATTTTCTCTTCAGTTTCAAGGCAATTTGAAGATTCAAAATAAATATAACGTACTCAAATGCGAAAGTTGTATAACACAAAAATTGATAAATAGGGCCTGAAATGAAATCCGATCTTGTTCTTGATTTCACGTTGCCTAGCACGTGACCAAGAATCTATCCAGGCGGAAATCCAAAATGACGGTGGCAGTCTTGGCTTAGTCATATCACTCAAAATTCGTTTCCGTTTGTCTCATTTGATAAACAGAGAATCATTCATGTTTTCATTAATACAGTATTGCTTGATTTTCCAATATTTACAATCATAGACAGTAAATTTCACCTTTCATCCACATTAACTACCAACTTTTTCTTTCGCACCAGAAACAAAAATGACATATGTTTAAAATATATGACATCATCCACCCTTGTCAAATAAAATAGCATGACCATTTCAATCGTAATGCCTTCTTATCCCAACGTTAGTTTGTTTCTTTGCTACATTATTAGCGAAGACTAAACTACTGCTCGTACTCGAAATGTGACAATCAACCACACAATTCCCTAAACCAGATAACATTAAACATAATCCAAAAAATCATGTAGGTCATCTTTCAATTCACGAGTTTGCTCACAGAGCACTTTGATTTGGTTCTGATTCTTGATGTTTCTGAGTGCTTACGAAACCGCCAGCTTCGCAGGCGACCACTTTGGTGGTTTTTTCTTGTTTTGTTATATTTTTATTTTTTATCAAAAGGATAAGGGCTTCCAAGGATAACAACAATAAAGGACAATCAAAGAAATAAAATACTGAATCTGCTTCTGTTCGAAATGACAATTAATGAAAAGTACTTACGAAAAGAAATTGATATGCCAAAATAAATTCCAATTTCTTTTTTCCCAGAGAGTTTCATGAGTCAACCATGAGTAGATTTTAAATTTGCAATCAGAGTCAGCTTTATCAATATCTTTGTTGCCGTTCTTGATGTACCTTTCCCTTTGAGAGTTTATCTTGCTTCTTTTCGCGATGGATCTGATGAACTAAAAAAACCTCCACATCCAATGTACCCTAATAACATCAACAAGGATACGAGAGGCCAAAAAACCAACACAATAATCGCAGGGTAGATATCCTCGAGTAAGGTAAACGACTGATGTGGACAACAATTGTCTGTCAAGGAAGGAAACTTCTCACTTTTGTATCAAGGATTTGAAATACGTGCACCTGTCACAAAAACCATGGTGACGCACAGGGCGAGGAACAATCCTACGTCCAAACGACGGAACTTCACATTAAGTGGTGTCATTTTCTAAAATAATGAAGTGAATTAAGAAAGCCATGAAGCTGTCTGGTCAAATAGAAATTTCAAATTAGGATATCTCTATCTCTGTCTCCTTCGACAGATTTGACATCAATTTTAGGGGTAACCGAATTATCTTTCAACACTTAACAGAGCACGATATAACAAACTATCAGTCTCTTTGAACAATAAAAGTCCTCTGACCGATGTCGGTGGGAGAGTATAGAAAGGTAGTTTGCTCTAACGAAGGGCAAGCGCACGAAACGTCAGCTTTGAAACTCTTAACGGTGGCCAATTTACGTTATCAACTCAGATGATTATACCAAACTTGGTAACGAACATACGTTTTAAACTAATAAAACGTTGGCCAGATCTTTTTCATTTACTCAAACCTTGGTTACTATCAATTAATTTATTCTCATATTACGTGGAGACAACAGCAGCGGACTGCGTCGGCTGGAAGGATTGCGGAAAATTATTTTTAAAATAATATCCTAATTTGAAATTTAGATTAGAGTTTCGCTATCCTCGCCCCAATGGGAAATATCCAATTTACAACTATTATCACACCATACATCCATTTCTTTATAAAACGATGCGTGGAAGGACGAAAAGTTGCGTGCGCTAGTTCCAAAGAAATAATCGAGAAATTGAAAAGGGACACTAATTGAGAAAGAAACTGTTGTACTAATTCCGATTGTATTCTAATTCATAATGTAATATCCGTCGGCTTATTGAGCCCCCACGGATCACACCAAGAGTTTCCGAAAAATCCCCGTGACCCCAGCTAAGAGATCGACTATCGCTAGATTGATGATCAAGCAGGTACTCTACCGTCTTAGCTGCTTCAAAAATCCCCTCTGGCCTCCCCCCCCCCCCCCCCAACCTCTGGTCCCATCTGTTCAAAGGCTGGATAACGCTATCCGCTGAATAAATCTTTTTCAGGTGGATAGCGCAAAAATCATTTATTAACTCTTATCAGCTGGATATATTCTCCGCTCTCTGAACAACTTAGCCCAAATCTGTAATCGTCGCTGTAAATACTGATTGGAGGAGAGTAGAAACGGCTCAATAACTCATATAACACCAATAAAAACATCAAGTATGCGGAAACTTTGTTGTTTAAATTTAATTAATCTTGGTTCGATGTTTGTGATAATTTACCACATCAAAACATGTTATGTTTTTCCCTACCATCTGTCTCTACTCAGGCTAACCGTTAGCGCGCTGAATTTTTAATAAAGAGGTCCATACTGGCATCCTATCTAGCGGGAGTATAGTCGCCTCATACTATGAAAACCGGAACAAGCTCGTGTTCGATTGGCCAATTTGCTTGAGCGCAGACTACATCGTTTTTACCTTTGACCTTTTCAGTGATTTTTTCCCTATCACTTACTCTCTTCCTTCGTATCAGTTCCAGCCGAGACCTTTCAACAAAGCTTCCTGTTTGGATTTCAAAGTGCTTTTATCCCTATTAAGAATGATTGCAGGAAGAGGTGTCAGCAACTTTACTGATCTTGATGACGTCCGAAAATTTGCAAGACACAACGTTAGGTTATTTTCGGCATCATTCCCAAAAAAGGCAATTTGAGACCCAAGCATAATAAGGTAAATAAAATAAAAATTTGAAAGATTGTGGCACGTTAATTTAAACAAGCTAGCGTAATATACATTTGAAATTTGTGTTAAGAACAGAATGATGGGTTACAGAAGAATCTCTCTAACTCCGTAAACTTTAACAAAGTCCACGTGAGGGTTGTGTACCGATATTGTGAATTGAAAGTGACACTTGTTGGCATCAGGGAAGTCATGCGACAGCACTTCAGGGTATTGAAGCTATGTCTAAGAATAGAAGAGGAATGTTTCCGGTCCGAAACGCCGCGCAAAACAATTGACCATATAAGGGCTTTGAGATAAAATAAAGCCGTAAACAATGTGATTTAAAAACTACAGAATTAATGATGTCATTTCGTCTTTATTGTTTATCGGTCTTGAAACATTTTGACTGCGCTCTGTTTTCTTACAGATAGTCCAAAACACTTAAAATCAAGGTCTAGGGATGTATAGCGAATAAAAGAAAAAAGTTTAGTTTTCTATTTTAGCTCCAGACGCCGCGTAACTGGTCCTGTTTTCCTTCTGTTTTACCTTGCTGCACTCTGTGATCAGTCAAAAAACTCGCGCAAACCTCTTGACCAAGCAGGCGCCAAACTTCAACCAATTACGACTTAGTCATTCGCGAATTCGCGCGCCTCAGACAATTTGCTAGTTTCTACTTTGAGTTCTCAGCGGCTGCCTGTGATCTTTTACTTGGCCTTGAAACAAATATGAAATGATAAGCTAGATGGCATCAATAATGATACTTTCGTCGAAGGTTTAGCCTCCCACCCAAGCTTCGTCACGCGTTTCTACCAGCGGACGCTAACAAACCCTTGGTGCGGGAGGCTATAAGAGGTCAAGAGTTCGATGGGATGAAATATTGGATGTTTTACTTGATTGAAGGGAGTTCTTAGAGACATACTGAAAAAGAAACAAATTTTGTTTGATCAATGGCTCCCGAATGGCAACTTTGCTATCAACCAGAAGATTCCTTTCGAATTTCGAAGTAATCGTTCTTTACTAGAACCGGAAACTTTTGCTGACTGCTCGTTTGTGACTGACAGTTTTTGTAATGTTGGCCTATCAAATTAATTAAACCATTATAACAGTGACTGTGATAAGCTTATTTAAGGAAGCTTCACGAAATTAAAGATTCACGCTGAACCAATTTTCCCTCCCTGTTTTGATAAAATTTGTTTTGGAGATACGAGCCGGATGAAAGGGGAAATTACTGAATTAATAACACAAATTGTGTTCTGTCCTATTCTATGGTACTAGGAGGCGGTAAAGCACCGAAGAGCTAGGGAGAAATACTGTGTTTTATGTTCTCCCTTAAACTTCTTCCGTCATCCAACCGTTTTGCGTCTTGCAACACGACAGCACAACTGTGGCTTCTTTATCGATTGAAAACATCATCTAAAAGTTTGCAAAATTGCACACAACATTAGAAATACTTGTGCAATATTTGTTACTTTTACCTTCATGACAAAACTGCATGTTGTTATTAAACTCTACTGACAAAAAACGTACAATTAACCACATACATATACTACTCTCGTCATGAAAAAAATTGACGTAAACCATATCTCCTCTTTTTAACTCAAATGGACATCCCCACTCTCTCCCCTCCAAATTGAAATTTTAAGATGGATTTTACATCTACACTTAAAACAACATCATCAGGCTGTTTTTAAGAAATGGAAAGACTTTTTATTTAACAATTCTAAATTGTGTTGTATTTACAAGACAGGTAAATAACTACATATTTTGCTGAGGTAAAACATCCTTATCTTTACTTGAGCGCTTTGAACTCCTGCGGAATATTATTCGTAAAATTGCTTCCCTCAATTCCGGCATCCTCATGGCATAAATTATGGGATTTATTAGCGAGTTCGTAAACAAGAAAGTAACGGTTATGAGGAGAAAGTTCATGGTTGATCGCCTTGAAAGGCTCGTGAAGAACTGGAAATCAAACACAATGATACTTAATCTTATTATAGTGGGCAGAATAGTGAACAATGATCCAAGAGTGACAAGAAACAATGCACTCGTCAATTTTCTTTCCCTCAGACCGGCTGCACCATGTTGTTGAGGATGACGATTGAAACGAACTTTAATATAGATAGAAAGATAGGAAAGACAAATCACAAATAGTTGAACTGCAAAGTATGAAAGTATCACGATAAAATCGAAATTAAGACTGAAATTACGGCTTGCTATTTGTGTTGCTCTTAGTGCTAAAGGTACAATCCAAGTTACTGCTATTACCACTCCATAAACCCAGTTTTTCACAAAGCGATGCCTGAATGGAAAAAATGTGGCGTTAACTCGTTCTAAAGAAATAACGGAGAGATTACAAAGAGACACTAATAAGAATGTCGACTCGAAAACTTTTTGTATTCTCATCCATGATTCTTCATCATTCGGACTGTTGTCACCCCACAGATCACACCAGGTACCTCCCAATCTGGCAATCCAAGCAGGTCCCGAAACACCAACTAAGAAATCGACTACTGCCAGATGGATGATCAAGTATGTACTCCGCCGCTGTAGCCGGCGCTGCTTCACAAATACAATAATGGTGATGATATTAAGGACGGTTATGACCAAAGACTCGACGCTGATCACAACAAGCCAAGGGATACATTGTGACGCCGGAGCCCGCATCCACACCTCATCGCTGGCTTTATTTTGAGTACCGTCGCTGATGAATGAAGCCATTGTGTTGCCTAAAATACTTGTATCGACTTGTACCGCGTTTATCAAATCACCTGAGCGTGAAAGAAAGAAACAGCTAAATACAAATGAAAAAAAGTGGAGATTTGCTTTCGTAACAAACTACTGACAAGGATATACATGATCAGAATCATATCATGATGTAATGGTCGGCATGTCTGTTGCTTCTACGTTGCGATTATGAAAAACGATGGTTTAATTTTAGTTGTCACAATTCTCGATAACTAATTTTGTGTAAAATCCGTCCTCAAGGTAAATTCCAATCTAAAGATTTTCTAAACAGAAACGTTTTCCAAGTCACGTTAATAAAGAGTGCTGTGAGCTGGGATTCGCCTAACAGGCGACCAGGCGTTTTATATTTTTGGGGAGCGAAATAGATATGCTAGAAGGAAAGAACGCCTGATCACAGGTTAGAGTTCGCTAGGTCCGCTAGCTTGTTTACATCCCCGTTGCCACCCAATAGAGTTCAGTTTGGTAGTAACAACTGTGCGATTTGTCACATATAGCTGAGTTCACGAAAGGATGCCCGAATAGATCAAATTTAACTATGTGAAAAATCTGATTTGGGAGACAAGACATATCTAAACACAAAAGGCGAACCCGTCTATTGAAGCATATATAAGAACGAGAGCTAGGATGTGTCATATCTAGCAAGATCATGCGATTTTATCGTATGTAAGCCGAAAGAAAACCTAAAATTTGACAGTTATTCATTCTGGAAGCGTGACTTACTTTTGTTGGTGGCTCCGGGGATGAACTAGACCTCAAGCAACTCCGATAAACTTCCAATTTTAATCCCGGAGATTTTTGGTTCTTTCCGTAAAATTATCCTCTCACAGTTCATTGCTTTCGTGCGCAGGTAGACCTAAAGTATGAGTATTAGTGACGTAAAGGAAATAAATTTGAAGGGATTAGCTCATTGAGAGCGGATAGGCAATATCAGGCAAACAATAAAACATAGTAACATTGTTTGACTTTCATTTTAAGAGCATGTGTTGATGTTGGACATTGGACAATGGGCAGTGACTGGGAAAAACTGGTAAAATCTCTGAAGCTTTGGCCGGCAACATTTAGTCACTTAAGATTTTAAAAGAATATTTAAGGCACCGTAAACAACTGAATATTTTAACTTAGGTTTAGTAGGGCAATCGCAGACTCCTTAAAAATAGTCCAATTGGGCCAAGATCAGTCTATGAAATTATTGACTGTGGACGCGCGGAATCTCTGAAACTTGTGGAACTTACAAGGAAAAATATTTTTCATTAGCACTAAGCATCGTGGGTTCGGGGTACGAAGGAAAAAATTACTGTCATTGTATGGCGGAAATCTGGGGGAAATCGAATTTGGTTCGAGTTAGCGCGGGGTTCGAAATATCGGGGGTTTGAGTTATCAAGATTCGGTTGATATTATGATGACGAGGAAATTTATCTAAGAGCAGAATAACATTTTACATACGAGGGATCATTATAAGCTATAATCGTCGATAATTTATATTTATTTTGAAATCGTGTCCAATTCTACGTAGTAAAACAAACCTTTTCTCCCCTGTTTCCTGCGATATGAGCTGTCAGTCCAATACAGTTGTTATAAACTAAATATTGCTAAGTGGACAGTCGACTGTGAACCATTTAATCAGTTTGAAGTCGTGTGTATATCATAAGTTATACACCTGCCGGTGATTTTGGTATTCGTGTCATATATGTGCTGCCAAAAAATAACAATAAACTTGACTGACCGTCTGAAAAGGCCGAAAGTTAATCGGAGATAAGAAAAATGTGTAAAGCATCCTATACAAATATTTTTGAGATTTTTCAAGTTTGAGTGCGGCTGTCAAACTGATAAAGACAGATGTTATATATTTGCCATTTTATTTTCGGCTATGACTTTTACATATGAAGTGTACTGGCGTTTCGATTTTTGAAACAACATTTTTTCGAAAATAGGTTCATGTGCAGGTTATAATTAAGACTGTGTGAAAAAATGGAAACGTCCATAGAAATCTGTGAAAGTAACAAAAGTAAGAAAAAGGAAAACTTATTATTATTCCTGTAAAACAAGTTAGTTCTGGCAGCCAGAAAGCAGTCCATTCACCAGGCCATGATCCGAGCGACGACCCTAGCCACGACAACTTCCGCACATGCGCAGACGTTTGACGGTTAGGCTTGTCCCGATTGTACCCGTAAAATGCTAGTAAATGCTAAAAAATTGCCAAAAATTCAAACAGTTGCGACCTGAATTTCTTGATATTTTTATATGAACGTTGATTAAATGTTTTATTTTTCATTTTTTCAGTATAATTACTGGCATCAGTCAAGAAAACTGCTCGCAAATATGGGCGAGATTTATCGTGCGTTATTGTATCGCTCTAGACAGAAATCATCAGGCACACAACCTTACCTTAACGCCAAATTGGTCAGGCCAGCGAGTAGAATTTCTTTATCGCGAAGTAATACACAGTTAAAACCTTACCTTATAGAAAAAACGATAACCTCTTTTTGCGGATACCGCCGAATACACTCTTACCTTTGCACAGAAATTTGACGGGATTAAGTCCCGCGCTTACCTGATGTTCGGGACTTAATAACTGAAATGATATTTCATACTAAAAGAGCTCCTTAGTTTAGACGCCAGAAATGTATGATCAAAATATCAACCCAATCGTTTCAAACGTTAAATGATACTCCTGTATCTCCAGAACATAATGCAGTCGAAATCTCTCTTGAAAACAAGGTCCTTGCCGAGCGGCCCACAAGCCACCATCTGATCAGAGTGAAATATTAGTTAGCTGACACAATTTAACTGTGGTATTTTTCGTGGCTGAACAGATAATTGCTCATGGTATCACAAACCAATAAATCTGTGGATCACGGACAGAACATGCCGGGCACAACAACTGTTACTTGATAGTCACGTCACGCAGTATAAACAGGCTATCCTCAAATGTCACGACGCGTTAAGGCTTAGCTAAGCCGTTCTTGCCGCTGAATCATTCTGCAATTGTGGAAATTGCCATTCATGCTATGATTGCGTGATTATTTCCAAAGAGAAAAATGAGCGAAAGGGTCCTAAATTTACGTAGCACTCATAACGCGCAAGCCGCGCGGATCCTCGCGCCAGTTTACATTTTAACTGCCAATTTAAATTAATTTCACGTTTGAAGCCAAACACATCTCTTTCACTTGCCAATTGAGTCCTCTCGCTTTACTTTGACAAGCCTATGGATCATTTTACACTTCCCTGGTGAGAATTTTTTTCTTGAGCAAAGCTCGTCGATGGTGACAGGCTATGTGTTCAAAAGGTTGATAAAAATTTGAGAAATTTGAATAAATCGTTGACTTTCCGTGCTAAATATGTGCTCTAAAGCAATATTGTGCGCAAAAATTTCTCAGAAATACAAAAATTCGAGACGCCAGAAGTTGCTCAGAAGTTGCTCAGAAGTTGCCGTGCACAGCCAGGACCGGCCTATTGACGGTCTCCACAATATCTCCATGCAATGCGGACTTTCTCACAGGTCGCTATCTTGCATCCCAGAATCTGGAGCAAAACACTTCTTCATCCGCCCGTATGACATAATATTTCGACCGCATGAATTGAAAGACATGTACAGTATTTTTTTTAAGAGCAAAGAGACTCGACCCTCAGGCCACCAAAAAAAAAAAAAAAAAAAAAAAACCGGAAATGGGCAAAATTTCTGAATCGCATCTCTAAATGCTAACCTTCTGCATCAGTCAAAGAATAACAAAGACATATTGTCCTTTCTGTTGGAGATGCCAAGTTTTCTGGGAAAAAAAAAAAAAAAGGTTTCCATGCCTTTTTCAAAAGCGCTGTTGATATCAGAAAAATGTAGAGGAAGGCCTGGGAATAGGATAGATGTAGATGCAGATAATGGCTGAGAATTATGACTTACGCCGATTACAATCAATTCAAGCCAGTGATAAAAAAAAAAACAAAAAAACAAATGAAAAAAAAATTCTGGCTGAATTAATTCAAATCTATAAGGCAGCTTCAATTTTCAAATGAAATGAACACTTTTAATTTACAGTTGCACCTTTCTATGAGGACTCTTTATCATGTTTACTTATATTCAAAGTACCCTCAGATCGAGGCGGTTTCGCCACCAGTTTGGCTCCTTCCGAGGCAAGCCCTAGCTCCCAGAGATCTTAGCGAGCCATGCACCCCGCCATTGAAAGACAACTGATCAAAACCTAGACGCTATAAAGTTCACCTTTGATGGAGCTCAACTTCCAGCGCTTGTGGTGAAAATCGACCTCACACAGGAGATAATCTCCTTGGGAAATGTCCACAGAAGCAAGTGCGACAAGAAGACGTGGAAAAGAAGGCTTAACTGCGAATGGATCGAGCGAAGATCTCTTTGATGGTCTGAAGGTAAAGTTGGTGTCAAGATTGGTGTCTTGGATTCTGCAATGTTTTTTGCTAGCTGATTGTGAGGCTGTCAAACTACCTCTACCTAACCTTTTCTTGATAGCATTATTTGCTCGAGTTTCTTCTTTGTATTACTGCGTGGGCTGTAAGATTCACCAGATCAGGCGATCGATGTTATGTTTCCAGCAATCATATACTAAACTATTTCTCATTCGGCACAAATCGTGCTGTGGTCAGCATTTTAACTTTTATTCGAGCATTGGCGTTTAATTACTACCACCGCTTATTTTTGCAAAATCTTGCGGTGTTGCTGCTTTTTTCATTCCCGCAGAAATGCAAATTTACTGCAAAAGACGTTGTTGATTCTCAAGCATTCTCCACAATGTTTTGCTACGTTCAATGGTCGACCAGTATTTTTCGGATCACGCGAGGCTACCGTATTACAAATCTTATTATGCCAAACTGTCAATTAAATAAAACATTGTCATATCGTAAGGATATTTTTAGTGTCTCTATAAAATATTGTTGATTCCGTTCTTACGGCACTGCAAAACTGCACTTTGATCATAATCGCGAATCTTATGATATGCAGATTGGTCATATTTTTCAAACAACCAACGTTTCTATTGGTCGGGCGCCTTTGTTTACTTACGTTTTCTTAGAATTGTCTTTTGTTTCAACCGAATCTCATATTAAGTTTTCATTTTTTGACAGCTAATATTCGATGTTTACTTTCATCGTGAAGAGGAGCGTGGTTGACGATAGTTTCTTGTTATTAAAAGCTTCAAAAACGAAAATGATGTGCCTGTTCTTATTTCACAGGTGCTCTCATTGATTTACAAATACAGCAAAATTAAATCAACTGCAAGGCAAAAGTGTACTAAGTCAAGTTTATAATTGCCTGCAACCTTTAAAAAAAAATTTTTTTTTGGTGAAGGAAATGAAATCAGCCTCTCTACTTCTCAGTTTTCTTTATATCATTGTATCATCATATCAAGCAAAATATATTTTTATTCATGAGGATGTGCACACAGGAAGAGATGGAAAGAGGAAAATTTTTTTTTTATTGGAGACCATATGGTATGCAAATATTCCAACAGTTGTTTAAGGAGAGTTTTTGTGTCTGAAAAGGATAGCAGTGACAGTAGAAATGGCAGTGTTTGTTGGTGATTTCTGATGCAGGTATACATAAATGAGAAACAAAACTTTGAAATAGCTGTTAGGTTTTGAAAAGCTTGTTTAACAATGCAAAATATCTGTTGTTTTCCATCCAAAGGCTTCTACATTCAGTATCTTTTATAAACAGTAGATTTTTTTCTGACTTAAGATCCTGAATTGTTGAAAATTATTTTTGTGAGTTACACAAAATTTGAACTTTCTCTTTGATGAATTTTGCTTTTATGAGAAGATTTAAATAACAGTCAGGTAATGTAGAATTAATTCTCTGAATATTTTTCTGAGCTTCTTTATTCCTGGAGGAAACCTCTGGAAGTATGTCTTTGAAAGTAAGGCAGAGGCAAGAATATTCCAACTAGATAAGGATCATTTTCACACAAACAAATATTAGAACTATATCACTAAGAAAGCCTCTATAATTCTTCTCTTGTGAGAATGATATAATGGCAAGATAGCAATTTATGTATACATGTATAACATCAGTAGACCTAGAATTCAACATGTAGGGAACTTTCCCTCTTTCTTTTGTTATTTGCAGAAAGAGGAAAACAGAAATCAAGAGGAACAGGTCAATAATTCTATTTTTCTAGAATTCTACTTATGTAAGCACACTGTCCTAAGCCTCAACTTGATTAATGTTCACCATTTGGTGCACTAAAAATATAAAGTGATTACACAAAATTATTTATTCATTCTTAAAAGAAAATGACAAACAGGAGAAAATAGATGAGGCACAGGACAAATTTTCACCTTGCCAACTGGCTTTGTCATTGGTAAAAGTGGCTGTCCAACTATCACAGTCAAATATGAGTTGTGCTTATTGTCTTAAGGCTTCACACTCTGTGAGACTTAATGGAAAGGGATAAGTTATATATGATAAACTAGGTCTTAAAAGATTTTCTTGCAAAATTAGTGCAGTAAGTAACAAAGTAATGTTGTGAAATTTGTGGCTTTCACCGCAATTTTATCTGGAGAAATTATACAGAGTCGCTTGGAGTGCAGCTATTTGCACATAACTGTTACCAGATCTAAAATTCCCTTTATGACAAATTAAAGATTTAGTTATGTTTTGTTTTGATAGGAAATACTGCCCTCAGAAGATAAAAGAGAAACTTACTCAGACTCAGCTCCTGTAGAACAACCAAGCATGTTAGCAAGCTTGAATCCACGGTGAGCTGCTCTCTATGTATGTCTTCCTAGTGTATGTATTGATTATTGAAAGTATATGGGACAAATCATACAGATGAATGTTTGTCTGCAGTGAGTGTAAGAACTAGCATTGTAAGGTGCTCTCTCCGTATATGTCTTTGTAGTTTACGTATTGCTTATCAAGAAGTATACACAACACATCTTACAGACAAATGTTTGTTAGAGTGAGTGTAAGAACTAGCAGTGTAAGGTGCTCTCTATAGATATGTCACTGTAATTTATGTTTTGCTTATCAAGAAATATACAGAACACATCTTACAGACAAATGTTTGTTGCAGTTAGTGTAAGAACTGGCAGTCAGCAAGCTTGGCTAGTTATTTTACAAGGTTTTGCTGGCTTTTTTGGTCTTAAACTCTTTCTACTGTGGAGAAGGCAACCCAGATGAACTGTTAAAGGTGGAAAAAACAAGCATCAGTGACTTTGCTTGAGTTAAAACTTCATAATGTTTATGTAGTTGGAAACAGACTGAATACTAGATAACATAGCCATAGATCAAAGTGACCTCTTAAACTTGGGACAAAGTTGAGGGAAAGTCCTTGAAAATACCCCTTTGTGACCGAAAAATAGGTTCAGCACTAGGACTCCCCCTTAAAACATTCGATGCTTGGAGGGGAGGGGGAATAAGGGCAGAATTCATGAGCCACATAATTTTCATGTTGCTTTGTTCAACTGAAGTAATTTTCAGTAAGTTGCTTATAGCATCTAAATCTCTAACCTACTTTCCAAAGAAGATTTGTTCGTCACAAGGGAAAAACATCAGTTAGATTTTTCATCTACATGTAAGTATACAGTGGTGCTTTGTTTTGTCTTAAAGAGCAGTTAACATTGTTTTCTTGTCTTCCAGATGGAGGAACTGGTGGATCAGAGGAATGTTCTCTTTGGTGATGATTGGAGGTTTCTCTGTTATAGTTTACTTAGGTCCTTTTGCTTTAATCCTGTTGGTAAGTTTTTAAGAACTCTGTTTTCACATACATTGTAAACAAAAAGAAAAGTGTGAGAGAAAGGGTGGATATCTGCAATGTGCAGAATGAAAAGGCATCATGTGGATATGGTTTTTAGTTTATACAATCATGTCAGGAGATTCTGTGGTGTATTGGTTGGCATGTTGTACTCCAGGTCCCTGGTTTTCCAAGAGTGGATAATGGTATTCACTCCATCCATCAGACAGCACAGTGCAATTTGTTACCTTTTATTGTCTGGATAGTGACTTACCTGTTGGCCAACATTGTTTGTCCTTTGGAGAACTGTTACCAGATCACATTTTACACCAATCATGGTTACTGTCGTGTGTTCTTGGGCAAGATGCTTTAAAATACACTTAGGATGCTTCTCTCCTCCAAGGGGTTTTATCAGGTACCAGCAAACTGTAATGGAAAGTAATTTGACACCCCCTCAAAGCTCAGTCCTCAATTCTCGAAAACTTAAGGGAGTGAGGCTTCGAGTTTCAAGACATTTGAGTCAAGTTTTGAGACACTCAAAATAATAACAAAATGCTGGGGGGTGGTAACATGCCACTGTTTAGTATACCCTGTAGGGAAGGGGAGAGAAGCAATGTTCCCTTACACTTTCTGTCAATGAAAGCTAGATGAGTTCTGGCCATCAGGGGCAAACAGTTCTATGACACTTAACCCCTGAGGTGGACAACTATTCTCTAGAAGACAACTATTCTACTGCTCCTTTCATTTTGCAGATCCAGTGTATTCAAATCAAGTGTTACCATGAGATCATCTCTATTGGACACAAGAAATATGAAAAATACAACCTTCCATGGTTCAGATCCCTAAGTTGGTAGGATGATTTGCAGTTTACAGATTGTGTTGTAGGAACTAGTATACAGTGACAGATTGATCCTACAGTGTACTGATCCTCTCATTATCCATTCCAGATGGAAATTTTCAGGAGCTGAAAGTAATTTTGTCATGTTTTTCATTTTTTTAACAGGTATTTTCTTGGATGTGCAAACTTTTTCTTTTATGGCGAGAGCATAACAGATTATTTTAATGGTAATCCAGACCCACAAGTGGATGATGCATCAGAGGTAAGTGTTACACCTTAAATGTTACTTATTTTCAGATTTATTTTAGCCTGTAAAAGTTATATTTACCACAATGAATCATCAACCATTTCTATTGTTTCTTTTTCTTTTTCTTTTTCTTTTTTTCATTTTTTGTTTTGTTTGGTCATTTTTAATTTTTTTTTTTTTTTGCAGGAAGTGGTGAAAACATACATAACCTATCACAGGTTGTTTTCGTATTCACTTTACTTAATTGGTGAGTACCATTAAAGAAGTAATAGCACATTATCACATTATTCTGTGTAAACTGTAGTGTTTAACAAGGAATTCCAAATCTAAAAAAGCTGTAACCATGCACTTGTAAAATAATGAAATTTTTTTGTGTGTTTGATATTGCCAATTAGCTTCTGACACATCACTAGCCCTTCGCACCACTCTGCTTGGTTGCTAAATGAGTGGCAAAGCATCCACAATTCTCAATTCAAAGTCATTTGTTGAATTTTCTTGTCAAAAGGGGCCAGTGGTGTTTATATAATAAACAAAACAATCTATGAATACTTGTACTTAAAGAATTTCTATCCTCATGTTCAACTCGATTTCTCACTTGTTTGCTGCAAGCACACCTGGGGGTATCAAGTTGAATGCTCAAAGAGAAATTCTATATCCATGCAGACATGTGTATTATTCCCTATGTACATGTATGAGCCAAAAGATACTGATTTTTTTGGTGGAACTCCTGTCAGACAGCACAGTAAAGCAGTTGAACAAAAATGATTATAAGGTTGCAGATTAGTTTTGTGTACTATACTGGCAGACATAGCTCTTACTAATGGATTTTGAGGTCCATAGGTTGTAAGTTACAGACCAAGTTTTTCCACTTGGGTTTGAATGTGCCACAAATCCTAGTGGAAAACATAAGGCTCCATAATTACATCTCTGGGTCCAAATAGAGGGGAAATATTTCAGTTCAAACAAACTATTGATTTTAGGAGGCTGTGCAATGAAATACTGCATGCTAAATTGACCAATCATAGCACTTGTACTAACTAAGAGATATGATAAATTGCTTTACACTGTCAGCCTATATTTCTTAGGTGCTGTCAAGATTACAAATGTGCTTCAAACCTAACACTTGTGCATAAAATAATATGAAGTCACTGATACATTAAATATGCCAAAAAATGATTGATCAAGTTTTGTTTCCTTGCAGGTTTCATTTTATTTGTGTTAAATTTAAAAAAGGAACACTACAAAGTGCAATTTTCACTGGTAATTATGTTTGTAATTATTTTTTGTGATTTCTATGAAATTGAATGTACATGTAGTATTTCTATCCAAAGTTTCAAGAAGAAAAATCATGTAGGCTTTGTTGTGTGTGTTTTTTTTTGAGAGAGTATATGTAAAAAAACCAGCAGAGCCTTTTCACTTAGATTTCCAAAGATAGATTGAAACAAGCACTGCATGCAAACATTGTTGAGTGTACAAGAAGTATTCTGAATAATGTTGAACTGTTTTGGTGAAACAGAAACAAAAGAAAGACAGTGCTTTTTCTATCAATGAAGACAGAACATTTTTGTGTAATCTGTTAGTCTGATTGAAAGATGCATTGAGTTCTAATGCAAATAGTGAATTGTCCTCTTTGCTTTTAGTTTGGCTGGACCCATGTGACTTTGCTGATTGTTGTCACCCAATCACACCTCATTATGCAAACCTTGTTTGAAGGACTCATTTGGTGAGTAAATTATTGGCTTGGGATGATGTATATTACTTTTAACCCTTTAACTCCCAGAAGTGATGAACATGTAACTTCTCCCTATAATATCCTTACGTCCCCAGCAAAAAGGTTATGAGAATACTCAAACTTGTCAATTAGAAGTCAATATCTTGATCTAACACCAAGTTCTCATATCTGGAGTACTAGGAAATTTGTAGCAGCTATAGGGGAGAATTGAAAATCCCATTTCGTAGGCATGGTAAGGTTAATTACTATTTTTCTCTCTGCTGTGTTTGAAGGTTCTTTTTACCTGTCAGCATGGTGATTTGCAATGACATCTTTGCATATATTTTTGGTAAGTTGCTGGTTGTGCTTAACATCTTTTGCCTACCTTTCCCTTCTGTTTGTACATCCTTTAGGAATGCCTTGCCATGTTTCTTTGTTTCATGAAGTCAAGTTTGCACTTTGAAATTTGATTAGCTTTAAATTTTTAGACTCTGAAAAACAGAATCTGATAATGAAAGATTTAGGAAAACCTTTCATAATAAAAAGTAGTGAGGTTAAAACATGATGTTTCGAGAGCAAGAGACCAACTCTGAACATTCCAAAAGACTCCATTCCAGCAAAACTGTTCATTTATTTATGTACATTCTTTTGTTTTACTCCATCTCATTTTATTCTAATTTAGTTTCACACTTTCCTTTCTTTATATAATCTCACTGAACTTAATATAATTTTACATTTGATTATGGTGACACCTTGTTGCTGAAAACAGAATCATTCTCACTTAGCTGGCAATTAGGGTGTCACTAAATTTTTTTAAGTGCCAGAGCATCCCTAACGTTTGTTGTGCACCTAATAATGGTAACATTGCTTCTTTTTATGTATGCGATCATCAAAATAGGATTCTTTTTTGGCCGAACTCCTCTTATCAAGGTATGTTGTTTCTTCCAGTCTTTTATGTAGTACAATTACCAATAATAAACTACTTATAGTTTACTGGTATATAATTTTATACTAGTTCAATGTGGTTTAAAATTTGAGCACAGAAGCCCATATACTTGCATAGTTCTTGTGACTGGTTTCTTTACACCACCATGGCAGTATTTTTATCACCAAAGTGTAGGTATGCCCCCACAAACCAGGCCTTCTAATCTGGCAAAAATGATTTCTTGTAAGGAGCTGGTCATATGTATGCTGTGGAAGCAAGCTGTTTGATGAGTGCAATTATCTTTAGGGATTCACATTCTCTTTATGTCAATCTATACCCAGCACTAAATTTCACTGAGTACATACATCCTGTACTCCATCATACATTTTCAAGTGATTCATTAGTGATTAACTTTAAACTACACATTTCTTTTCAGCTATCACCTAAGAAAACATGGGAAGGTTTCATTGGTGGAGGAGTGACAACAGTGATATATGGATGGCTTGTAAGTAATTTTGCTGCATGCTAGTTTAAGGGCAATCCATGACAAAGTAGATTGGTTGACACTCTGCCATTGAGATTGCAATGTTCTAGAAGAGCAAACCAGTGTCATTACCAATACATTTACTTTCCCCTCTGTGTCCCTGTACAATGTTTTCACTTCATTTTCTGTGATTGTGAAACAGTGTTGGATGTCATTTGTTTTATTTTCTCCTTAGATCTCTTATTTCATGTGTCAGTATCAGTATTTCATCTGCCCTGTGGTGGTAAGTTAAGAAAATAAAGGTCCAGATTTATGAATTTTTAACTTTATGATAACTGCATTGGTAAAGTTGGTAAACAAGTTTAAAAACTTTCATTTTTTGTGACCAGACCAATCAATTTTAAATTTAAATAATCTTTTGTAAGACAGGTTTTTCAAATTTTTCATTCAGAATAATAAACGTAGATATTTAACCCTTTAACTCCCAGAAGTGATAAACATGAAACTTTTCCCTATAATACCTATACATTATCCAGCAAAGGGCAAATGAGAATACCCAAACTTATCAAGTAGAAGTTCTTATCTTGATCTAATACCAAATTTGCCTAACTTGTTTGCTAGGAATTGCCAGGAGGGGAGAATTAACAATCAGATCTTGGGAGTTAAAGGGTTTAGGAATGTGATAGCATATAGTTCTATCATTGAGTGCAATCACTTCAATCTTATTTGCAAATGAAGTGGCTTAGCCAGCCAGTTTGGAATTATGGGAGGTATCCTTTGATTTGCAAAGAAGATGTTGAGCCCTAAATCGTAGAAGTTGTCTGAAGTCTTTTCATTTGCGTAGTCTAAAATAAGCAAGCTTTGCTTTTTTTCAGTTCAGTGGCTCAATAACAGACTTCAAGACAACTTGTCAGCCTTCATCACTTTACAAATTGACTGCCTTTACCATTCCTGCTCCTGTCAAATATCTTCTAGGATTTGTAAGTTTTAATTCTTGATAACCTTGGAAACAGATTTTCTCAGTTTCTCTGTTCAGTGAAATGTTTCACTCCTTGGTGTTCTCCAAAGTGAGGTCAGCTGAACAGCTTATTAAAGGAGAATTACATGTATGTGGCAGGAACTGTCTCATTCTTATCTTTGCCATTAAGAATTTTATATACAGGAATGTTACCACTTACATGTACCATGTACTGTATGTATGATTCCAAAGAGTAACCTTGATGTTAAAAAGTTGTCTTCAAATGTGCTGGAAAAATTTAATTTCTGATGCTGCTGTTTGGATGCAACTCGGTTGCTTTAGTTGGAGGTGGACTTGCATTAGGATGACAAAATTCTATCCTCTGCATAGCTCATCATATACTCAGCTTATTGTTACAGTTATGTTTAAATATCACCTATTGGTTTCAGGGTGGTTTGACACAAGATGAAGTGTGGCTATATCCAATGCAGTTCCACTCCATTGTTTTGTCACTCTTCAGTTCATTGATCGCACCATTTGGTGGTTTCTTTGCCAGTGGATTCAAGAGGGCCTTTAAAGTCAAGGTATACAGAGAGTCCACCTTCTTTTGTATTGATAATGTCTACAGGTATTGGAATGCAAATTTGCATTCAGTTACATGTGATTTGATTTTCATTTATGCTGCCACCCATCATGCACTGCTTTGAATTGTTAAAATCTATGATCCTGTGACTCACCAGAAAGAACTAAGAAAGCACTCTCCTGTTGGTGGTTTGGTTACATGTCAGTTATCCATCTTATTGTCCAAGATTGTGTTTGTGAATTTTTAGCAGGGAGCCAGTGAACACTGCATGTCACTTGGCAGGATTACACTGATTACTTCAGTCATCTGTTGAAGAAGCAGCTAGGGATATAAATTTCAGATCAACTTTCAAAAAGTGCTTGTGGAGACAATTTGATTTTCAGTTACACTGCCCCATAAAGAAATGTCTGAAGTGATGAAAGTTACATTTGTAAGATATGGTGTGTGTGTGTTTTTTTCTTTTTTGGTTTGTTTTGTTTTAATTTTGTTTTGTTCTTCAGGACTTTGGTGATACCATTCCTGGACATGGAGGTCTAGTAGATCGCTTTGACTGTCAGTTCCTGATGGCAACTTTTGTTTATGTTTACCATTCCACATTTATAAGGTATGGTGGATAAACTGCTTGGTCACTGGAAGTATTCTTTGGTTGAAATTCTTTCCACCAGATTTATGTGAATGAAAGGCACACTGATGTCAGATTGCACAACAACACAATCACTTTTCTTAACTTGGGGCTGGGTTGTTCAAAACTGGGTTAAGATAATCCAGTGTCAGTATGAAATCTGATCTCAGATCTGAAAGCTTTAAAAGAGAATTCAGTTTAATTCTTTTTGTCTAGAATTTGATTATTGGATGTTTCAAAAATTGTAGAGAAAATTATTCTGTAAAGGCTTTTGCTTAAAGTGATAAAGAAACCTGGACTGAGACTCCACCTTGGGTTAGGGCTAATCAACCTTTGAACAACTGGACCTTGATGGTCAAGTAGTGACTTGTGACAGTGTAAGCTTTGAAAGGGAACTTTACAAACTTAACATTATCTTGAAATTGCTTAAGCAACTATGTGATTTTCTGTATACAGGGCACCTCAACCACACAAAGTGTTGCAACAAGTCTTATCTCTGAAGCCAGAACACCAACTGAACATCTACAAAGAGCTTAAGTCTAGCTTGCTTAGAAGAGGCATTCTATAGTGGATTCAACAGTGCTGCCACAACCATCCCATATTTATCTTGTAAATCACTGGGTAATAATGTTAACTTAAGCATCAGGATTATGATAACTGTACATGTCAATTATATAGGCTATGGGTATCCTTGTATAACAGATATCCTTGTATAATAGATATATTACTGATTGTATTTTAAGGTTTTTGCTTTTCACAATTATGTTTTGAATGTAAGTACAAGCATTTGAATTATGTTGTGTAAAATGAAAAGAAGAAATAAGGTGAGATATGAGTTCCTGTCTGTGAAGCTCATACAGGTTGACAGGCACAGAACAAGCACTTTGGTTCATCAGATGTCATGATGTGATGTCTTGTGAATTACCATACAAACAGAGTTTCATTATGTTGTGCTCAGCTGTTTTGATGTAACAAAACTCAAATCAGTGGGAGCACAGATATAAGCAAGGAAAAGAAATTGTGCTTGCTCATTTACTTATCCTTAAACTTGTATCTTAGCTTAACTCTTTCAATCCCATGAGTGACCAAGACAGCATTTCTCCCTACAATAAGAATACAATATGAAGCATACAAATGATGGGAATGAAGAAAAAAAATCAATTAGATTATTAGTTAATCTGATACCAAATTCTCTGAAGTAACATCACATGCATTGTATGACAGATAGTAAGGACAACTCCAGATGAGATCCCAAGAGTCAAAGGGTGAAATGTGAGCTAGCTCTAAGCTGTTATGTTTGCTCTTAGTTCTCCACTAGTTACTAACACCAGCTTTTGAAAGCAGGCTTCAGGGTCCATTGATCCAGTTAAATGTTGAAGTCTGTTACATGATGAAAGGAAAACATCCCCATTCATAGATAAAGGAGGAAAGTAACATTAATACACTTGTTCATACATATTAAAATATATATATTTTAGCTTTTTAACTTTGTTTTAAATTATGTGTGGAGGGATTAATTGTTGATTTTGGAAAGATGTTATATGCATACTGTATCTCAAAATAATAAAATTGATAAAACTTAAACATGTCTAGATCAATAGAAACTATTACTGTAATTTTGATGGTTCTATCTTGTGTTTTAAATATTCTGAACATTACTGTGATATGAAAAACAGCTTTTTTTTTAAGGGTATTACATTTAGTTATGTTACCCTTTTAAGCCTCAAAAAAGTGTCATCTGGTGAGGAGAAACAAAAAGATATGAAAGAGATGAGATAGATAAATATCTAAGAAGTTGTGGATGGCGGAGGTTGGGAAGTCTTAATTAACATGTGTCTTGAACAAAGTTGAAATATCGCAGCAAAATTATGTGGCTTCTTTGAACAACAGTAAGATTTATTTTATTTAGCCGCTGATTTGTACAATCTATTTTAATAACCATCTTTACCTATCAAATGATGTTCATTTAGTGTAATATAAAAACCTGATGTGCAATATTTTAAGAATATCTAGTGTTCTTATTAATGACATTATTAAAGGTGATTTGTGCAAATTGATTTGAAATATGATGGTGATTTTGTAAAGTAGGGCTAGAGGTTATTTCTCAAAGTTATTTCTCTAGTTATTCTCATGTCTAGAAATTCAATCCAATCATTTCCCACAAAGATTTACAAACATCTTTCGCCAACCTGAAGCTTGTTTCATTTTCAAAATTCATGATGCCCCCAATATCATCACTATCAGTTTCTAATCTCAAGGTTAAGAGTAAACAAGGTTCATACTCTTCTGAGATAATGAACCTCAATGACATCCTGTGATTTTTTCCAAGAACTAAGTGCCAAGAATTTAGTTCATGAATAATATGAAAACGAACATGTAAAATTCTTAACTTTCAAGGCATGGTAACTGATATAGCAGAACTCTGACATTCCATGTTTTGAATGACCCATATAAGGTAAGTTATTCATGTTCAGCTGTCTTCACCCTTTAACCCCCTTAGAGTGACCAGCATCTAATTTCTCTTTACAATATCATCCCTGAATAACACATAAAGGTCATGAGAATAAAGGAGATGATCACCAGCTAAAGAAGCTTTTGCTTGTTATTAAACAAATTATCCTTACCTACCCTCCTAGGAAATTGAAAGGAAATAGTATGGAGAATTTGCTTCCTGATGTTAGGATAGAACGGGTTAACTTATTAGCCCCCAGGAATGACCAGTATCTACTTTCTCCTAACAGTATCACCCTCAATAAAACACTAAGGCTATAAGAACAAAGGAAACAATATGTGACATGATATAGTGTGTTATCATGACAGTACTTAACAGCATCAACAAGGAAGAACAAAAGCAAGAATTTGAGCTGAATAACAAGTTTATTATATTTCAATTTACCACTATACTTAGTTTGAAACACCTTGAAAAGGTTTTCAACAACCAATGACAACTGGTGAATTTCTTCCATACTGAAGCCCACTACCAAAGCTTCCTTCATTAGTGGTCCCTATGTACAGTTCAGCACTTGTAAAATAATTTCCAACACAAAAAATATAAGATTCCCATCATTTGGGCTGCATGCTTGTGAGCTGCCTTTAGTCATCAGTAGCTGCTGGTTCTTCTTCGTCAATCTTTGGAGCAAGGTAATATCTGCAAACACAGATGACATTGGTCAAAGAGGAATGACAAAGGTGACAACAACATGCCATATCCACCCTGTAACAAATGATTCTTCCTCAAATCATTTCATCTCATTATAATTAGCTTTTGAGCAGGTAAAGGAAGACAATAAACTGGTTAAAGAACAGGACCAACTACCAAAATAGTAAAAAAGTGAAATTTTGACAAAGCTAACAGCAATGAAGAAAGGAGTGTATTACTTTGCCTCTTCATAATACTTTCCTTTTGCTAAATCAAATGAAATATTCTTCCTTTGCAAACTTACTTGAGGTTGCCTAACTCTCCTACTTTGTAGTCAAGGACTAGGGGCACATCCTCTTTCAGTGACATTTTAACTGTGCTGGATAATGGAGTAGCCTGAACAAGAAGAATGAAGAACTGTTGAGGACAAAGTTGGTACTGCCATAGAAAGTAACAATTCAGTTTGGGCACATTCATCTTCACGTCATATTATTTTGAAAAATATTTGATGAGAAGCATTATTTTTACTTCCAAAATAAAATTACAAAGCCCTTAAGCCTGCATACATGTATTAGAATGATTTGCTTGACACTACAGCTTATTCAAGTTATCTGTTATCTATCCAATACTCCCAACTGTTGAGAGAAACTGTGAGAGCAGACTGACTTGCCCAAGAACAAAACCAAATATCACTGGCCATAGTTTAAAACGGCACTATTAGATGTCTTAAATGCTTCATTGGATCTCCTATATAGCCTTTCATAATTCTCCACAAATATCTCGAGTTTTGGTTACCAAGAATTTTTATGTATAATCTTAGTTTTTTCTGGCTGGTTGAACTTGTCTTCTTTCATGCTAAATGTACTTAAGTCTTGGAAAAAGCCATACCCATCATGGATGCATTCTGTCAAGAAAATCTTTTCTTACCTTGGTGAAAAAGTTTAAATATCTGAGAGCAAAAGTAAGTTCCACTGGTTCATTGAGCTGAATTTTAACCTGGAACAACAAAAAAGTATAGTATTTATAGAAAATAAACTCGTTAAGTTACTCATACCAAGTGAGCTGGCATGAAATTAACATGATTCATAACTGTCTCTATACCAATTCCTATGGTTTTAATTACGAAGCACATCACTGAATGACTAGCTGGTAACCAACCTGATCCTCTTCAACATCAACGGTTGAGTTTTGTGAGAGAGAAACTTTTCCTTCACCGAGGTCCCCTTTGGCTGAGAACTTAACTCCTTCTTTAGTACAGTTTATTGTCACTGAATCACCAATCTGTGTCAGGTCTCGACATATTCTTTGAAATTCAGACGATGGCATTGTCACAACAGCATCATATTCCTGGTCCTAAACAAAATATTATCAAATGTCACATACTGCACAAGTTTTTTTAAACCCAGTGGTCTCAATGACAATAAATACAAATGTCACTAACAGTCCATTTATACAGACACCAGGTGCCAACTATCCCATTCCACTTGGTGTCAAAACATAAGCATGATGCCTTTGCCATCCTGTTAGAGCTAAAATGCAGCTACTGTTATCCAAACATGTTCATGAGTTTTCTCAATTAGTTTTGATCAAAATAATTATGGAATTTGAGGAAGCCCTTCCAGTATCCAAAGTTGCTTAAATATTCCTTTTTAAAGCATCCATCTTGTTGCAGTTTGCTGCTTTCACTAGGCAAGATGTACAAGGGTAGAAAAGGTCAACATTTATCAAACTGATTCCAAGAGAGAGAGAGAGTAAATAGATAAATAAGTTATTTACAAACTTCAGATTAATCAGTATTGTTAAAAACAGCAATCTCAGACTTAAGAAAGCTTCTCTATCCACCTTTGCAAGACCTTGTCACAGTTTTTCACTTTACCTAACCAGTAATAAGATATAACATAGCTTACGTACCGGTATTCCTAAATGCTCACTGTCAATATCCATAAGTCTCATTTTATATTCGCATTGTCTTTCACCATCTAAAAGAAATGAACACAAAGTAAGAACAGGATGTGTTAAATCACAGTTTGCTGATGGTCTCAAAGAATCTCATTTGGTATTATACTCTTGAGAAATACTCCTGGTCTGTCACAGTTATCTGGAAAAGTTAAGCCTTGATTTGTTATGTAAACATCTTCCATTTCTACCCTTGTAACAATTGCCAGCTTTGATGAGCAAGTTTGCTAATCAAAGGGTGTCTTTCTTTCCTACAGGAAGGGAGGTAGGGAGATTTAACAAATATTTTACTTCTGAAGACCACTTAAAGATTTTTGGTTGCCAGGTTTGGGTAAAATTGAGCTCAGAGCATTGAAATTTTAAACAGTACTTACTTTGGCTATCAAACTGAAATGTCACCATGTCACCTCCTTCTTCAGCTTTAATTGTGATGCTGTCATCATTACTAGCACACTTCAGTATTTTGGAAAGATTAGCAGTTTCCATTCCAAGAATGACATTTCTATCACACCTATATGGCTCAAATCCATCAGCTTCTAATGATATTGAAACTAAACTGACATGACTACTGTCCATGGCTTGAACATTAATGCCACTACTTGAACATTCCCAATTTGCATTTGGAACCAAATCTTTGATGGCTTCAAGAACCTTTTTGAAGACGTTTCCTTGACTAAGTTTAGCCTCAAACATTTTGCAGACAGATGATGACAGAAGTTAATGTGTAGAAGAATGATTGAAGTCTGAAACAATATAATGCATGATTAGACTGACCATATGACAAATCCTTGTTTCCCTCATCTTTTAAACTAACCCTGGAGATCCAGTTATTATAGAAACTTTAAGTGATGACAGAACTTTAAATTTTGCATGCTGTAATTATTTATCTACGTTTATGATCAGTGATGAGCCCAGGCAGTTATATTTCAACACATCAAGTTGAAGATTGCCAGTTGAACGATTTTACTTAACACATAAATCTTCCACCCTATTTGCAAATCTACATTGCTATCAAGTTGCATTAAGTGTGTTTTATCATTCACTTGATCCAAAATTTAGCAAATTCGAAGCTTAATTATGCTTGAGCCATGAAAAAAATTAAATCCTCTACAATAAAATAAATAAATGAATAAGTTTAAATTGCTACGACGATGACTCCTCACGATATTTTTGACATCAAACGAAAGTTCTATGCTTCACATTCTTTAACCCATCGAGGGTTCGAATTCGACCCATTAAAATGGCGGGAAAGGTAGCCATTATTCCCGCGCTCGATTTGAAGTAAATATTTTAGATGCGTTAGCAAAACCTTGGAGAGGATGTCTTAAATTGATCTTAATTGTAATCAAACGAAAGCTTGCCTTGGAAAGCTACTGGGCGAATGTTTGTGAAAATATCGCCTACAAACTCGAAGAAGCAAATGCACGCTGTTTGGCACAATGTGGTTCGAATTCCAAAATTAACCTATCGTCTTTGACTTATTCCCTTATCTCTATCCTCCAAATCTTCACATGCTGTAAATAATTGAATGATCGCGAATGAAATCGAAAATTAAGACGATTTCTTAGTTCGACAACAACATGGCCGCTTAAGCAGTTATCGCAGACTCTAGCGTCGATACGCATATCAAGCAAACTTAAATCACCCTATAGCAATCATGATCCGGTGAAAAATCGCGAATACTTAATCAAGCTTTTCCATGGGTAATCGTTAGCATTATTGATAAGTTTTCTTTATCGGAGAACACAAATGAGTACATAACATGTACCTTACCTGAACACACGACGATCGAAGACGAATTATGAATTACGCGCCAAGGTCTTGAATGAAAAAAAGTGCGGGAAATTCAATTATTGGTAAGTGATTGGTTCACGGTAGCACGTGATCTATCACGGGGTATTTTTCGCGGGAAGCACGGTGACAAAGAATAGTGGGAAACGGGGCAAGTTTGAACATGACTTAAAAATTAAGAAAACGTAATCATACATCGTCGCGTCTATGCTTGCTCCTGACTTGTGTACAGTTTGCGCCTTCGCTGTTCTCAACAAATGTTTTAATTTTTGGTGCATACTCTCAACTAAATATCTTAAATTTTAGTGTACACTACATGACATGGAAAGCGCCATAGATCGATCGACGACGTCAGTTTGTAGAAAGCCTTAAAAAAGCCCGCTCCACAGACCGGGCTCTAATTCCGAAGTCACCATCAACAAGGAGACATATTTCAGCTGGCAATCCTCTTTCTGGCTTAGTGCTTTCCAGATCTGTTGCCCATCCCCGGGTACCCCGGGGATCTGAGGAAGAACCTCGCTCTCAGGGTTCTCTCACTTTTTCTTAGGGAGCCCACAAACATCAAGTCTGCTCACGCACGTTTCGCCGTATTGCCGCGATGTTCAGACTTTTGCAGTGGCAAGTTAATTTTGTCTGTGCCTCAAAAATCAATTTCTCGTCATCAGTTTCTTGTGCGGTATTTATTTGAAACTTTACGGTGATAATTGCAGCCCATCGCTAAGCGGAAACGAGAAAAGTTTCTCCGTAACCTTCTTTTTCACCTGCACTTCTACGGCCATTCTGATTCCCGTGTCTCCCGGTTGCCAACTGGACACCTGAATGTTATCAAATTGCTTTGACTTAACATCCAATACAGGGAACTAAATAAGCCCAATGCCTCGTCTTTTATTGCAGAAATGTTTAGATAACAGCAGATTTCGTATTTCTATAGTTTAAAAATTAGATTACAATTACTTCAATGAAAATTATCATCTAAGCGCATTTAATGGACAAATCTAATCTTCGTGTGATTCAACACATTTATTTCACAAAAATTTCGAAAGTGCGTGAAAGGCACGTGTAACAATGCACATGAGCAATGTTCTTCCGCCCACACAGAGTTCTTACAGGCCTTTCAGTTAGTTCTTGCGGTTTACATGTGGTAAACTTAACGTAACGTTTGCACTTTAAAGCATTGAAGGGGATTCGAAACTCAGGCCTCCTAGGAAATGCCCGAACAAAATTAATCACGGACGAACAGGACGGAGCTTACAGTTCTCATTTTAAAAAAACAACAAACAAATAGAAAAACACCAACAACAACGATAAGTTTGCAGGTAGACAGCGAAGGTCAGAATAGTTTGTGGATGCTTTTCGCATAAAAATTCTACAACTGCAACTTGCAAAATTCGTTGGAACCCCTGAACCGACTTTTGTTATAAAAAAATCCGAGATCTTTGTCACACAGACAGCGAAAGTTCAGAATAGATTTTATACACTTTTCGCATAAGGAATTGACAAAATTTTTCAACTCAAACTTTACAAACTCCTTAGGATGCCTGGCTTTGGTTGAGCAAAAAAAAAAAAAAAAAAAAAGAGATCTATGCTGTATAGACAGCGTAAGTTCAAGATACTTGTCGCATCCTTTCCAAATTCGGAATTGACAATATTCCTCAACAAAATATTATTTTCTCTGCTAAGAATTGCACAGTCCTCTTTTCTGTGCCCCACGACCGGCTTTTTCTTCAATGTGGCCATTTTCTTTTTCTAACAGCTAAATGAGGAAGGAAGCTGTGGTCAGCTCTGCAAAGTTGCACTTGGTTTGCATTTTTCAATGGCAACTAAAAGATCACCCATTTCGATTGGCCGAAGATGTGGTTGGCCATTTTCATTCTGTACGCTGTCCCTGCAGTAAAAATAGTAACAAAAAAATTATAACTACAACAACAGAATGATCATAGGTTATTTTAAATCTGAGTGTAAACCAAAGTAGAAAGGTACCTAGAACTGAAAAATCATTCAATCTGTGCCTTCCACAATTAGAACATTCTAGAGATAGAAAATAATATTTTAAAAACAGGTGGTTATATCATAATCACCTGTTTTTAATCCTATTTGCCTTTGTGTGTCGGCAATTGGTAACACAGACAAGGTTGGTACTCATGATTTACTTTCCATTTTTAATACCGACATTTTCCATTTAAAAAAAACTGAGCAAAAAAAAAAATGAAACTACAATGTACAAACAAAACACATGACTTACAACGATTGTGGGTCGTTCTTTTGTTTCACATAATCTCTCACACAAGACATAGCGGCAACTCGGCCTAAAAAAATAAAAATACAATTTAATGAATTTTTAACTCATTTGTCAATATTTAGTGAATAGAGGACTATTTCTGTGTTTCCATAGCCTCATTCAAACACAAGAGGGAGATTTGGTGGAAAAATTAGAAACAGTTCCACAAACCTTGATCTAAGCCTCAGGCTTGTATAATCTTTGAGAATTTTCCTAAAACCCTAAGTGTGTAAGTGAGGCTATGTAAACACAGAAAAAGCACACCATTGCTTTTGTTAAATGTTATTAAAAATTTTCATGAATCTAAAACATCACCTCTGTGCTCACACACTTATCTTAACACACCAAAAGACCAAAGGGAGTACCTAGTTCTTCTGTCAGTCATTTTTGTAAATAACCATAAAGTAGTGCAAATCAACCCTACAAACACTTGACTATCCCCCAGTGGGCAAGTCTATAATGGGGTTGGGGAGGAGGGCATGGGTGACAGAGAACAGGTAAGGTGTATTGTTTAATTTAAGAGTATCACAAGAGGAGCCAGTTGACAAGATCTGAGTGAGATGTGAGACCATAGGTCTTAGCCACATACATAGTGCATATAAGAGCTTCTTTGCTTCCGACACTGCTATCTTATTTCTTCTCCCCACCTCTAATGCCGCACCCTCAGTCATGTTTAGGACCTACCATTCTCCCTCAAGCTGAAGAATATAACATCTATCTAAATTTCCAGTTTCTAAAAACATTTCCTCCTCATTCTTGCAGACTAAGGCCATATCTACCTCTATTGAATCAAGCAAACCAATCAATTTCCTCTCTAATACTAACTGTAGAACTTACATATTTCTTTCAAACCACTCCCAGAGTATCCTTCCGTTAGTAAGGCTAATTTGTCATAATCCACATCATCCTTAAGCTGAAAAATTAACAATGAATAATGTAACTAAAGAAAGTTCTTCATGTATGATAGATAGGAACAAAAGTTCATGATTGTACACATGGCATAAGAAAATTCCCATGACTCAGCTTTTCTTCTTTCATATTCTTCTATCTTCCAACAGCTACATCCAGCCAAACAAATGCTTCAACAAAAACTTTAGTGACCCAGAAGAACTTTAGGAAGAGAAAGTGATGGAAGATATTGATCTAAACCTGTTGATCTAAGCTACAAGTATGTCCAATCAAATTGTTCAAAAGATGTTACCAGCACTTAATACACAAGTCCAGCAGATAAGATTACCTTTTCTTTCTTGAGAATAATCTTTAATATATCTTTCCTCTGCTCTGCATCCTGAGAAGAGAACAAGTGTCATAAGTAAAAGTTTTTAACTAAAAGACAATATTCAAATTCTGCTTACGAAAGTACAGTAACAGTGAATGACAGACAGAATTGCTCCTTAAATTAATTTATCATGAAAATTTGAACAGCAATGCATAAATGTACTCAGACAAAATGAAACATATGTAAAACTCCAGCTTAATCCTACTTACTGGCAATCCAACACGAAAAGAACACGGCATCCTTCTCAAAATGGCTTTGTCAACATCTTGAGGTCTGTTAGTTGCACCCATGACAATAACTTGAGAGGTTGAATCAGTCATCAGTCCTGTAAAACACCCAAATTTGATTAAAATCAAACCTCCTCATACATCAAAAATTATTCAGACCAGGGATAAAATGTGTTAACAAATACTTAGCCACATGTGACTACATCTGATCTTCATAACCTGATTAAGAGCAGCAGCAGGTAGTAAAAACATTATGGCCAACATGCACGATCATAATGTTTACTTCACACCTTACAAATGCTTCATCATCAAACCACTCATATCATCATGATTATTATCAACTATATTGTAATATAATTTAATTGATTTCAGGTCAAATTTAACTTACTTTAATCCAATTTGTATTTCCTTTGTCAGAGATTTGTACAAATAATCCCTAAATAAACAAAATACTAAGCAAACTGGGATCAACTCACTCTAACCTAAAATTTACTTTCAGCTTAAACAACCACAACCCATAAGATAAAATCATTTGAGCAAGATAAGAAAGTAGATGAGAAGTTTAGAGAAACAATTCTAATTAGATTGGGAATAACATGGTGAGCTCAAGATTACCATCCCACAGGCTCATAAACTGTGCCTTCATCATTGCTGTGGCCTCGTGATCACTCTTGTCACGCATCCTAAGAAAGGAGTCTGTTAAAAAATCAAATTATGGCCAAATTAGAGGCAACGATTAAGTTTCCATGCACCAAGAAGAGAACAGACATTGCTCCAAGCTGCCACTCTTTGGCTCCCCAAAGGGGGTTATTCATTAATCAAATGTAGTGTCGTCATTCAGACATAGAGAGACTATTCCTTCTTCATTGCCAAAGGCTAACTAAACTTTATTGATAAACACATTACACATATACAAGTATAAGAGTTTACTGACTTATAGTAATTTTACAGCATGCAGGTATTTCCAGTACAGTAGGATTACTGCGAGTAGTACATTTACTGAATTAAATACAAAGTGCTCACCTTAGAACCCATAAGATAGGTACATGTAGAATCAATACACTACATCAAACACTAATTTTTCAGATCTGATATTAGAAGAAATATATGGCAGACAGTGAAGAGGATTACTGGTGAGATCTTGGGACTGAAAGGGTTTATAACTCAAGAGAATCTGAAGTTCAGTTTCATTAGTGATACAAAGAGAAACTTATGACTGTACTCTTGCATAGCTTTTCTTTAATATAAATCTCTTACATCATACCTATCTCATCAATAAATATAATACAAGGTTGTAGTTTGACAGCCTGCAAATAAAGCCATGGAATATATTAATCAAAACATTTTCCTTACAATCATGTGATGACCATAAAAATAGTGTTCTCCTTTTTGGGCAGTAACTGGTAAAATTTACTGACTGGTAGAGACTCTAACTACCAGTAATTATCACCTAAAATCCCTTGAAATTCTTGAAAATTCAAAGGGCTTGCCCTTCAGGATTGCCCTTTTAACTACCAGTTTGAAATTTATCTTACTTGTCATGCTTAAAATAAGAGAGAACATGGAAAAATGCCATACAATTTCTGCAAGTCATACACAAAAAGGTCAGCTGTTGCTTAAATGTATACTTTTCAGTGGGGATGAACATCACAGGTTAATTTTTTGGGGGTTTTTGTTGAGAAATTTATGATAAGATTTTTCTGGTTGAAAACTTTAAAAGCAAGAAGAAAATATTTGAACAACAACCTATGCAAGTTAATATTACCCCTTTGAGGTCTCGTCTCTTCACTTAGCTAGCAACTAGGCTCAAGTATTATCAGAGGGCAAATTTTTGTCTTCTACTGCATTGTAAATTTCAGCTTGGTCAGTGAGCCAAGATGGCACTTTTCACAGAGGAAAGAACTGGAGGCAAGAATTTTCTTCAAGACTAAGCTTGTTCTTTTGACTGATCTTATTGGAAAAACATCTAATTGCCTTACCAGTGAAAAGACAGCGGCAGCAAGTTTCTGTGATTCTCCATACCATTTGTCAGTCAAAGAGGACACTTGAAGGTTGATAAATCGACAACCTAAATTGAAACAAAACAATTCACTTTCTATTGATAAAAATCATTTTCAAAATACCTCATCTGCATGGACAAGTACATTACTCTGTAATCAAGGTTATTCAGACATTTTTGATTAAATCACAATATGTTAATTAGAAATAAAGTTTAGTGTCTTACCTGCTTCTTTTGCAGTTGCCTTGGCTATCATTGTTTTTCCACATCCTGGAGGACCATGTAATAAAACACCTACACAAAGAGAGAAGAAAGCACCCTTAGTTTGAGTTTCCCTTAAATGTAATGTCTACAAAACAGTTTCCTACCTTGAATAGTACAAGGTGAAAAAAAAGTTTTCTTAGCAAACACAATAACATGAAAATCATTGCTTTCATTTTACAACTAATAATAGATCACTTTCCATAGACACCTTATATACTAACACAGTGCCTTTTCCATACCTTTAGGAGCACTAAGAAGTGAAGAATTTTTGAAAATATCCTTTTGTTGTATTGGGAAAATAACTGATTCCTGTATGAAAATAAAATTGATACATAACACAACGGGTGAAGGATTGAAAAAACCCTTTTTTGAGTGTACACAATAAATTGTTATTAGTTAATTAAGATTGTAAGAAAGCAGTGAAAGCGATGAAACAAAAAGAAACCATTTCAGACAAGACAATAGCAAAAGTCATTTGACAATACATCACTGATTAGAATGGTTACAATGTTGCTTAAACTTTTCACTTCTGTAGTTACTAAGCATATACTTCCTAGAATATATTAAAGACATTTTCAGTCAGGAAGGTGAGGATAAGAAAGAATAACAACGACAGAATGTAACAAGACCCAATGTTTCAACACTCCTTAAAGTTACTCAAAAAACTTTTCAGACTTTGGGGCATATTTTTGCCAAACCTAAGGTTCCTGTCACAAAAGAAAAATGAACCAACACTATATATTCTATTCCGTGCAATGACTATGATAACGAGTATATGGGACAGACCAAACGTCAGTTTGGTACACATTTGAAAGAGCATCAAAAAGCAGTCTTCTTTTGCAAAAAGGAAAATTCAGCTTTATCGGAGCACACATGTCTAACCAACTGTACAATTGGGTGCAATAAGTCTAAGATTATCACCATTAATCCGCTTTACCACCAGCGCCTTTGTTTGGAAGCCTGGCATATCAACTCTGCTCATGCTCCTTTAAATTGTGATGATGGTGGCTTACTTCCTGATGCCTATTTACACCTCGTCAGAAAAAGGGGCAGCTAATTAGTGAGCATATAAAAGGACCTCTTGTTGCAGCATTTAGATCACCCCTGATGAAGACGCTAGACAGGAATGTCGAAACATTGGGTCTAGGAATTGTAACTTCTTGGTTACATTCATTAAATCTTTAAACCAGAGTAGTATCAAACCATTTCTGATTGTCCACTTGGTTGCCATGTGAACTTTAATATATAACATTGTTTAATTCCACTCCAACTCCTTAAGACTTAAGTCAAGAGAAAAGAATTGCAAGACAAGGAAAGACATTGTCTTTCAAATAATAGAAATGAAAGAGTTAAACCAGTAAGATAACATGTACAAGAATAATAATATACCGAAAAGGGTCATCCAATCACTAACACCAAACCATTGTTCTTACCTTGATTTCCTCAATTGTTTCTTGAAGACCTCCAATGTCCTTCCATGTGATTGGTAGAATTAAAGGATCCACAATATCTGCTGCTACGGTGAGTTCATATTCACTTAACTATAGCAAATAGGAAATGCAATAATGATGTTATCACCTCTGGTTTTAAAACTAAGGACATTTTTTTGTCACAGTAACAAGTCTATCACTGATTTCAAGAGTATTACTCACACCAACTTAACGTGACATGAAAATATGAACCATCAATTAAAAAATTATAATAACAACTCTCAAAAATATATAATTCAAAATTGTAGAATAAGTTCATTTTTTATAAAAGTTCTCAAAAATGTATCTAAACAGACACTGTGTGACAAAAGGTGAAACAAACCTGTCAGACAATGTTACCATTTTGTAGCAAAATAGGTGAAAGTTTGTCATACATGTACAAGGTTGATATTGATTAACATTACCTTTACCCCTTCAATACCAATTTTCTTTAAGAGCTTTTGAGCCTGAAAGAAAATAGTTTTTAAGTCAAGAGAAAATTTACAAAATATAGCTACAATGTATATGTACCTTGTCTTAGTGCAGCATATTTGCATTTTTCACATGAAAAGGATCTCTCCATACAAAATGTCACATCAATGTGAGATACATTCTAATATGGATTGTATACCTTGGTGATGAACAACTGTCTTATATAGAGAGAGGATAATTTTTTTGTAATTTTTTATTCCAAGATATCACATAAAAAGTAGAAAAAACTTTTGCACATGTTATCCACTTCAATCTTTCAGAAGTATATTTTATGCCACAATAAGAGGTGACTTGAAATTATTATTCTCCCAATAATGATATAAATTCTCATTAAGAGTAAAAGTCGAGATAAATAACTCTGGAAGATGGCAATTGATGAGAGCTAATAAGTACACATAGACTCAAGTGAGTCAGGTAGAGGGATATTACACCAGTAGGTGAATCAAACTCTGGTATGTTGTCTCATTCCTGAGACAGAGATCCTGAAACGATGGTTACTGATAAGAGAAGCAGAGGGCTCAATGAAAAAGGTGGCATGAAGACTGGTCAGAACTCAATTTTATTACCTTAACCAAGCCACCCAAGGCCATGAAGTCTATGAGAGTTGAGTCATGTGAGTTAGCATTCTGCTGCGAGCGGAAATGGTGCTTTAAGATAGTGCACACCGCAGATTACAAGCCTGAGCTCATCAGGACTGGCCTTAAAGTACACGTGGTTGTAAAGTTATTTTCTAAACTTAACTGATCGCTGTTTCCCAGAAGCTAGAAATCTAACCCACGTGCATGAATTCGCTAGAAATTATTCCCAATATAATACAATCGACATGAAATCTTGCCATCAATAAATGAAAGACAAATTCCTAATCAAACGCTACGGTCACAAATTTTACACTAATTCGAGCACACATTTCATCACTTCAAAACAAAAGTATATCTACCGCCGGGTTCCTTGAATAAACCTTTGAAAAATCGATAACAACACTGATATTTACCGGCATTTAAGTGAACAATCATTACCTGCTTTTGCGCAGCTAAGCGGTTTTTTTTCGTGGGATCCATGGCGTCCATTAACCATTTAACACCGTAATACGTTACAGTACCAAGAATAAATGCTTGTATAACTGTAGCTACGTACCTTGCTCGATTATCAGGCATAGTAAATTAAAAGTGAAAGTAAAAACTCAATACTACCTGTGAATCTCTTATGAATTTTTGTAAACTCCCTCGTTTGTCACAATGCAGCGGATTCCCTTCAAAGAGTATGCGCAGTATGTTTGCTTCAGTGCAACGCATCATGGACTCGTCCTCTTCTACTTCTCTGTGATCAACACAGGTTTGTGTTAGGAGATTTGTGTCACAATCTTCTCAATCTCGCCCGAAACTTTGAATCATCGGTGTCTATTACATAATAAAATGATATCTTCATTATTCACGAACAGCACTATGCTGTTATTTTTCTTTTGATTTCCATAGTATGGCTCCAAGAAAGGGTCAAAAACAACAAGGTGGAGAACAGAACATCTCTCTTGGTCCTCAGGTACATGTAGTGTTCCAGAACACTTGGAATTTTGTTTGGGATAAATTTTTTGAGCCATTTCTGTAGTCTTAAATTTTTTGAACGTTTGAATTTCAGGCCAGTGAAGGTGAAGATGTCTTCGCTGTTGCACACATCTTCGCTTCGTTCAACGATACTTTCGTGCACATTACTGATCTGTCTGGAAAGTGAGTCGTCTTTTCCGTTTGATCAAGTTTCTTCTTCCCAACCTGTCGTGGGACTTTTTTGCCATTTTATCGTTGTTGTTATTTTTTCTCTTCCATTTGAATTGTTGAAGGAACATCAGTGATATCTGAAATGCAAGTAATAATTTATAAAAATAGTTTTATCGACGCACTTCGTTTTACACATTCAGGTGGTGATGTTTATGAAATACGCTGATCACCAGATATAATTAGAAGGCTCTAAGCTTGCATTTCAGTAGAGCTAACAGAATAGTAAAGCTACAGTCAGATTAATTCAATACGACTTCACTTGAGGCCTTCTTAGTTTAACCTGTAACCCTTTCACTCCTACAAGTGACTAAGACAGAATTTCTCCTTACAATATCAATACAAATCAAGCAGGTAGGTGATGAGAATAGAGAAAAATGTCAATCGTGGGATTACTAGTTGATCCAATACCAAATTCTCTGAACCAACGTCATAAGAATTGTATGGCAGATAGTAAGGAGAATTACTAATAAGATCTTGGGAGTGAAAGGGTTAACTCCCAAGATCTGATTGTTAATTCTCCCATCCAGCTGCTATATATTTCCTTGTGAATTAGTTACTAGTGATGTTGGATCAAGACAACAACTTCTACCCACTAAGTTTGAATATTCTCATCACCTGTTTGCTGGATGATGTATAGATATTATATGGAGAAATAACTTGTTAATCACTTTTGGGAGAAAAAGGGTCAAGCACTGAGCTTTTAGCTAGGGAGGAATATAAAATCTGAAGCATCATTCAAGTTTAATTTCCATGACTCGGCAAATGAGCTTATATGAGGATGTTTTTTTTTCCCCCACAGGCAATACTTTTGAATAAATCATGATATACCCCCTTACTCTATTAAGTTTGCAAATTGAAGATGTTAAAAATAGTTATTGTTTTTTATCAGAGAAACAGTTGTTAGAGTAACAGGAGGAATGAAAGTAAAGGCTGATCGTGATGAGGTAAGTATTGCATTGTATTCTTGTCTCCTGAAAGTGAAGGTTAGATCTTGCACTTTGGACGAGATGACCTTAGTGAGTTGAATGCAGGCAATGATGTCTTTAATATACGCTGATGTCCAGTGATAAGAAACATGCTCTGAGCTTGCTTCATTCATGGTACATTTTGTTAGATGTTCTGTATATATACATTAATATATAACATATTATTAAAAAAAAAAGGGTTATAGAAGGGAGGAACTTAATCCTCATTGTATACTATACCCCAGAGATAAAAATTTAATACTATGCAATATACATACTGAAACATTTTACAAACAGGCATATATCTATATAAATATAAAATCTAAATAAAGAAGACATATCCAAGGCTGTGCTCTAGGAAAATTTTCAGGGCGCCCTTTGGGCGCCTAACCATGACAAGTAGGTCACCCAGCCTTCCAGGTTGGTCACCCAAATTGATTAATTAATAATTAATTGATTAATTAATAATCCATGACGTTTTGAAAGAGTAGCGTTGTATACTTCTTACAGTTCCAGGGAATCTGCAGAATTGCCAAACAGTTTCATCTTTAATCTCTCTCGTTTAATATTCACTTCACCGGGCACAGGCGGCGAAGCGAGTTACTATATTTAGCAGTCACTCACACAATATTTAGGCCTTGTTAAGTAATGTTGATTTAAGAGCTTTCTTAAAAACATTCATTGAGTCAAGTTCAACTACTGATGACAGTAAACTGTTCCATGTGTTGATATATCTGTGCCAAAAAGAGTACTTAAAGAGTACTTCTGTACAAGTGAGTATCTAAAATCTGGGACTCAAACCACTTGAAAAATGTTGCAATGATACAGCTGTTCAGAATCTGATAAGTGTAGTGTTTTTGTGCTGTATTTTTTTAATTTGTTTTTTTTTTTTGTGAAGATTCTTGTTAAGGAGAGTCTTCTCTCCTGATTGTTGTTATTATTGTATTTCTTTTTCAATGAATAGTTACCCTTTTCAATGGAGCAATTCTATTTAAACAGTGACATAGTTGTGCTTAAATATAGTGCCATAGGGTAACTATCTGCTTACAGAAATTTTTTAGTCCTAGATTTAGGATTTCCATACCTGTTATTCCATGTAACTAAACACTTTTTTTATGTTGCTTACATGGCAGTCAAAGTAATTGAGTCCCCTGGGCTGATTTATTTACTCAATGAATATCATCTGTTTCAGGCTTCCCCTTATGCTGCAATGTTGGCCGCGCAAGATGTGGCTGCTAGGTGCAAAGAGATTGGTATTACTGCTCTGCATATTAAGCTTAGGGCAACTGGAGGCAACAGGTTGGTGTGTTTCCTAGGTTATTATAAATCTCTTAACAGTCCCCATTGGGACAAGAAAATAATGCCTCGGGGATTTTGAAACCAAGAAAATCATGTATAGAATGTTTCATGGAAACTCCATCTATATGGTATTTACACACAAGTTGGTAGTATTGGAAATTGAATGAATGAGTGCAGCTAACAAGTGAGATTTCTGATACAAACTGATAAGTGCGTAAATACCATACGGACAGACTTTCCATGGTGTATTGTATTTATTATATACATACAGAGATTCAATTCTTGTTTAATGACAATTTATTGTTTGGCAGATTCAAGGCAAAATCTCATAAATTGAAAGATGTTAACCATAAAAATTGCCTTTTCATCAGAAACAATGCAACACTACTGACAGCAAGTGAAAAATAGCAAAATACTTCACTATGCTTGAAACAAAGCATCTTCAACTTGAGGGTTCATAATCTTCTCTGTCTTTTTGTTGAACCAAGCAAATGAACTTCTTGAGATGTATGCTAAATTTTCAGTTTTCTCCTGTTGCAAAAATTATTTGAATAGTTTCAAAGCTCGCTGCTTTGTTTTATCCTTTTCTCCCTTTGTTTTCCTCCTTCTACTTGCTTTGTATTCTGCATTATGTTCCACAGAGTATTCTTTGTCATCTTAGCCCAGATAGCGGATTATTGATAATATTCTGAACAGCTGAAAAATTAAATGATGCCGGTCTAAATGGAATTAGAATCACCTTGATATGTTTCATACATGAAAAACATGAAATGTGGCTCCTGGTTAAACATATTGTTTTCCTCACACTTAAATGAAAGCTATACTTTGACCAACTTTTGTACAAAAATTTATTTTGCCCCTTTTCATTGTGTAAATCTCAATAAGTAAATAATAAATAACCATGATGTATGCATGACTCTTGCTTCTATTTCAGAACAAAGACTCCTGGCCCCGGTGCCCAGTCTGCTCTGCGAGCTCTTGCTCGTTCCGGAATGAAGATCGGACGTATTGGTAAGATACAAAGCACTTTTACTGCTGTTCTCCTTAATTTCCTTACTAGTGGGTTGACTAGATTTGTCTTTTTATGCCTGATTCATGAGTGGTGACACTAGAAAATTTGGTCTAAACACAATGGCAAGTATGTGTAGATGTGACCCAATTGTCTATTTGACCTGTGGTGATATACCCATTTAAGAAAAAAAAGAGGTTTTTTTTGTTGTAGTTGCTGCATACTACTATATGCCCAAGTGGTTTCAGCTGTGCCCTTTTGCAAACTTCTTCTTTAAAAAAACTCCGCTTATACACTTCCGTGTATGCCTTTCTCCAGCAAAAAAAAAATAACATGTTAGAGTGGAGGTCCAAAGCAGGGCTGTAATAAAACCTCAAACCTGCCACAGTTTATATAGGTGTTTTTCCCTTTGCTACCAAAATCTGCTGTTAACATAAACCTCCCACTGCATTTTCCTTTTTATCCCCTTTTCTAATTCCAAAAAGGCTCGTGTTGGCCAAAACTTAAGTATATATGTTTTTGTTTAACAGAGGATGTTACTCCAATACCTTCAGACAGCACAAGGAGAAAGGGTGGTCGCCGTGGACGACGTCTGTAAATTTGCGCCTGTGACAAGCGGTGAAATAAAAAATAACAACTCTAGAGACAAGTGCTTGTGTCCTTTTTGAAAACGTTTTTCGGCTATTAGAGATGTTCATCGGGAAGTATCCCTTCCCCTCTCACCCAAAGGCTTGAAAGGATCGAAGACACGGCTCAATGAGCAGCCAGTCTCCGAGATTGATTAAAGATCGGGCTCAGAATTAAAACGAAAAAATAAATGGCTGAAGTTGGGGCTGTCAGGAAAGTCTTCGAGGCAAAAGCGACTAGACTACTACTGCTTAATCCCCGTTTTCATCAGCATAAAGTGACTTAATGTTATTTCCGCGAGATCTGTGTTTCGTATGCAGAAAGAATATCTTGTCTTGTCTCTCCACACGGTTGATTGAAAACGATTAAAAGGAAGATTAATTTGGCTTTATCAATTGAGTTGACCTCGTAGAGAGTTTCTTAAGCTAATGTTACGAGTTTTAGCCCTTCGTCAGGGCGACAGAAGGCTAGTGCTCGAAACTTCGGTCTTAGAAAATCCTTACGGTGACAAATTTACATTATGAACTCGGTTGATAAAACCAACTTATATTGTAATATCACTACGGTTAAGAACTTTAGGATAAATGCACTCTACACCTCCCGGCTTTCATTGGGTGTAACACTTGCAAAATTAAGAAATATTGAAGGAGTTCTCACTGTGCGAATGACTTGAATTATCTCTTAAACTCGCTCCAGACCTCGCTCCAGTTCTCGCGCGCTCCAGTACAAGTTTTTAAAATGGGCGCTGTCGCAGTGACTCGAGGTACCGCGAACACATTAATTGCTTGAAAAACTCGGTGAAATTTCTCTTTTTTTCGAAGTGAAAAGAGCGTCAGAAATTACTTAGGGTTGAACGGGGTTAAGGGAAGGGAACGACGTCGTTTACAGAGCGATAGATTAGTGGAGGGTCCTTAGTTACTCTCCCACGGTGGGCAGTCGATAGAAACGAGAGAATCCAGTTTAGTAACATAAATCGATGAATGTCGACAATGTAAGTCAGCTCTGAGCTGTCAATTAATATTTACCGATTTGGAAAAATCATCATCGATTTTAAGCAGTCAGGACGATAACGCTGAGGAAAACGTCGATTAAAAAATGAATTTCTATTTTTAGTTAGAATTTTGCAGACGGTTGCATGTGGTTGGCGTCTCTTTCGGCGTCACTCAGCGTTTAGTTTCAAATGGAAATTAAACTTATTTGCCGTCGCAGTTTCAGTTTGTAGAGGACGCAAATTTTGGTGATTTCACGTTGATGTTTTGCAGGGGATGTCTAAGAAATGTACTCAGTCTTAAAAACGCATATGCTGAGCTTTCGTTACGTCCTTACTGGTGTCCTTTCCGATGGGAGAAATGGATGGTCAAAATGGATGGTCAAAAGAAGCCCATCAAAACTCGAAAAACTGGTTAAAATCTATCTCAAAACCAAAAACCGAGAATGAAATTCGACCGAAAATATCAAAAGTAATCGTAGAAATGAGGACGAAACCAAGTTCTTAGTCTGAACATGGAAAACCAAATCTCCAAAAATGGGAAACCGCATTTGCTAAGAAAACCTAAGATTCCGAGTTTTTTTCACAGTTTTTTTCCAGAAGAAAAACCTAGAAAAAGAAATATTCGATGAGTTCGAATGTCCCGGCTCTTCCTCGCAGCTGCTAGAAATAACTTTCCACAGCTGTGTTTATTGCAAACTTCAGAGCGAGGAATTTTTAATTTGACAATGGATCAATATAAATTTATTGGCCCTTCAGATGGCCTTCAAAATCGGCAGAAGGACGGCAAGGCCTTCCCCGCGCAGAAAAGACAAAGAAAAATTCAGAGTTTTAGAAGATAGAAAAGGAAGGCCGAAACTTTCGGTTACTTCACGGCCGAAAAGTTCCTCAGTTTCGACGAGGAAGACGCGATCTTTGGTAAGAATATATTAATCTTCCACAGCGATGGTGAACTAACGTGCGCGAACAAAGTTTGATGTTTGGGGGAAATTTTTCAGCGGAGTTGAGGTTAGTTACAGATATTTCACTTTTTTCCGTTTGGTAAAACAAATTTTGACTGCTATAAAAAGGAACTAAATTCGCTGAACTGTGACAGGCTAAGACCAGCGAAATTGAGGACAGCAATTCGAGCATTGTAAGGAAGTTTATCTGCCATTAAGCCATACTGCCTGCGAGTAGTTATTTCCCTTTTCAAGTAAGTTGTTTTTATCGCTTCTGCCTAAGTTAGAGCCTTTTAAATTATTAATAGTTGGCAAAATTTTTGGAAAAGCACAGAATTTGAACTGCAAATTTCTCTTTTCAACTCCTGAAGTTTTAATTAAGTCTCTAATACAGAATTTTGAAGTGAAATGTTCAGTGAACTTCAGTCGAATTATTTATAATAAAGAATAAAAAACTTTACGAACAACAGAGTTTTTCTCACATGAATCAAGGAATGGTTCAAATAATCTGATTGGCTGTAAAACAAACTGTTCAGGGCGATAGTTTACAAACTAAATAGTTCGTTTTTTAACACTTTTGAATGAACGACAGCCGAATTCACCTCATAAAAACACGCGAGAACAAACTGTTCAAGATCGCTCGAATTCACCGGATGACAGCGCCGCAAAACTCGGCTGCAGTGACAGATGTGACTTTCCACTCAATGCATCGGAAAGGATATCAGAGCAAGCTCTTATTTTTTCACTCGAAGGGCGGCCGATGTAGTTTCTGAGGCTTGCTGTGATGACCGGAGATCGCCATAATGAGCCAGCCGCGATGGACTTCAGCATGATCATATTCGCTCAGACACCGTCATGATTAGAATGAATTTTAACAGTTATGCCAGTTTGGTTATATTTTTCATCATTTCTGTTTTGTTCTGTTTTGTTTTTGAACACTGAACTTTATATACTATATGAGTGTTAGCTGTGTTTGATTTTTATTTCCGTACGTAAGCTTGCAATCTAACTGAGCGTGAATCAATCTTTAAAACCTCGAATGTCTATTTTGTTTTTTCCTTTGAGGATTTTCATATCTGCTCACGTTTTAATAACGTAAATTAGTACAATTTGGCAGATGGCGTGACAGCTTTAGCTCAGTTCTATGCTCTATACTCTCATAGAGCACGCTCTTTCAACCAATGACAGCGCGCGTTATATCCGAACTTTATTATAAATTACGTTTAACACTAGTACAATAATATAGAAACAAAAATGAGCAACGAAGTTACGGCTGCATGACTTCAATTGTCGACCTACAATTGGTCTGACGCATTGCCCAACAATCAATTCTTCCTAAGGCATTGGACTTGCCAGCGTAAATTTATGCTGTCCTCTCTCCCAACCCCCCCCTCCCCCCATGAAAGTAAATTGTCATCTGCCGATAATTTTCCGATCAGTCAGGAGCTTTCCGCTTAGCTACGACAGCTGAGTCCCTAAGCTTACCAATAACAAAGTGACCTTTATACGACGGTAAGTGTAAAAAGTTAAGCCGGAACAGTAGACCATTTCTTGCCATAACATCATGCTTAGAAACAATTCAATTTTGACCCAACTCTCTTTTCAGTGGGAACCTGAGTTTTTATATCTTAAACAGATGTCCCTTTAATTTTAAAGTCATAATATCAAATGACATAGCTCCTTTGACTCTGATCACGACACGTGAAAATGATCGCCAGCATACAGTTTTCGACACACTGCTCAGAGTGGGTGTGATACAAATTTGACAAACTTGGCTTCTGACCATCAACGTTGTCCTACTCAGAAAACCATTCTTGTAACACGATCGTGCATGAGCGTAATTGTCTATGTCTGAAATATAACCGACCATAGGCGTGCTAAGAATACTTACCTCTTCCGGGGATCGAGAAGTTAATCAGGAAAAGGTTCTTTTTTTCATTTTCTCAGTACAGAAATCTAGACGAGGGTAATTTATCACACGATACCAAGAAGGAATAACCAAATATAACAAATGATACAAAATGGCGAAATGAAACTGATCAAGAAAGCTGAGATTATATTTCCACCTTTTATGTACCGCCCATACGTAATTTCATTTTCCATGAGCGTTTGGCACAATGTCAATGAGGAACTGGTAATTTTTCACGCCCTTTAGAGCGAGCACAAGTTACTGAGTAGGAGAATAAACAAGTGACAGCATTATAAACAGATGGTGTAACTACAGACAGGTATGTAAAAGGAAGATGTTTTTATTTGTCTGTGGCGTCGGACAAAGAAAAAGGTTCCCTTCGAGGAGATATGAAAGTCAGTCTTTGCGCTGACTGTTAACCTACAGAGAACTTATTTGTGATTCAGGCCACGTATTAGGTTGAATGTATAGGTTGTTATTAGTACAGTGACACTACGGTGAATCTGACGCTAGCTTTCTTTGTGACCTCAAGGGTATATAGTCTAAGAAGTTCTTTTAGTCTAGATCAGTTTTGATTGTTTTGTTTCTCCTGAATTTCGAACATTACTGTGTCTCTTGCAATTTAATGCAAACGGCATTATTTTTTCATACCGATATTCATTTGCTCTATCACAGTCGATGTTACATCGGACCTCAAAGTCGTTATGTAATGATACACTTGAATATCAATGCACTTGATATTGATACACTTGGTCAAACTGGATGCACATCATAGAATTTCTTTTGTGTTACCGCCAAAGGATATGATTGGTAGAAAGAAGCCAACTTTTCAAGAACAAAACTCAGTGATGTTCGACTTGACTTCTCTGCTTTCACATTATCGTAGCTAGCCCATTCTTCGATGTCAGATAGAAACAAGAGGATATAATCTCATCTCTTGAGATGAATAATAAAACTAATACAGCGATCTGTTAATAGTATCTGTATTTTCTGCATCTCCGGGTCGCTCATGAACACCATCATCAAAGAAACTTAGTCGCTTGAAAAGTACGTTGACGTTTTGTTAAATCTAAAGCAAAAGTTAAAAAAATGGACGGGAAAAACACTTGGGTTTCCGTTATTTCGAGTATTCATAAGGCACTCTCCGCTTTGAGAAGGCATTTTCTACGATAGGAAGATTGATAAAGTTACCAACCACATCCTGCTCCCTAAGTGGGGCAAGCCTCAAGGCACAAGCATAATTTCTAGCCAAACACGAATAGTTGTGACATATTTTGCCAAAATCACCGAAACCTTAGATGTCTTTTGTGGTCATTTGTGAAGATTCTTGATTCGAAATAAACCTGTTATCTGACTAGTTCTATTTACATTTGCAAGTTCTTAATTAAAGCAGATCTTGTCAAGTATTAACGAAAGGCCTAAGTCGTTTTCTAAGTCGCTGAGAGCATGTTAAATACACAAGTATTGACTTTTGGTTTACGCTCCAGAGTGAAATCGAGTCGCAGCCTTGGATATC